GCTTCTCAGCATGATCTCTTCAAGATTTTCCTACAGGTCAGACAAGATTCTCTCCCTCTACGTATATTTCTTCACCAACTTTATCTTCCCATGAATTCCGTGATATATATACATATCTCATACAAATATGTAATACATATATGTATATAGATATATACACACAGAATAAAACATCTTTGGTTCATGCAGGGATTTATTTTGGGCAAATAGCTTTTTCCATTACTGTTTGGCGATTCTTTTTCTGCTTCCAATCCTTTTGAACTCGATAAATTTCATCTCTTAGAGACTATGGGTTTTGTTTTCTTGGTTTAACCTCTCCTTTTGTCCAATATACATAACTCAAGAGTCTTTTCCTTTATATACGTATACATATATATATATATATATAATAACTTCGTTAATGTACTCTCTCTCTCTCTCTCTCTCTTTGTCTTTTAATTCCTTGTACTTGGATTATTTGATTGGTTTGTAGAGATTGTTGAGTACTATGCATATACATATATATATATAGTACCAAAATACATGGGTGACTTATATAGAGATCATCACAATCTAATTGGAGATATTGCAATATCTATGCGTGTGTGTATACATATATATATATATATAAATATAGTACCAAGCAATTGTGAATTGCCATACGATGATTACTAAACAAGACTTTGAATATGCGTTTGAAAATCTAAAAACAAATCTTCTGTTATAACTTGTCTTCTCTCCAGATCATTTTAGATATTTTCTAAGCACGACCAACCACTCTGCTCTACTAATTTCCCACATAAATACAATTAAAATTAGACAAAAGTGAAAAGTCAAATTCTTCACATTCCATGATTCATAGCTAGATTAGTAATAGGAGTGGTGTCTGAAAATTTATTCAAACAAATTTTTAATTACAAAAATATGGGTGCTGCAAAATAAGTTTAATATTTAAAATTTTTTTTTTTTTTTCTAGCTAGAACATGTTATTTTGTGTTGAATCAAACTAGTTTGAGTCGTATGGTAAACTAACTCTATTTATTCCCTATTCCAGATTGAGTTGTATTGATTGGTAACTTTGGAAATTGATATACATATATATATATATATATATGAAATAAGGATGGAAATTAAAGAATAATTGTCTCTGTGTGTGTGTGTGTATATATTCATATATATATATATTGGAAATGAGGACAGAAATAAAAGAACAATTGTCTTTGATCAAACACACACGATCGATAATAACATGAGTATGCTACAGTGCTGGATGTTTGAAGATATTTTTAGTTACGATATTCTTGTTGTGGCCCAAAATGAAAACTGTGATATGAGAAAAACAAAATCGCAGCAAACTACCAGACAAATTTACATCTATGTGGCAGCTGATGTTATAAATACATATACACACACACACACACACATATATATATGCCTTCTTATTAATAATGTTTGATACTACAGCTCTCGTATTACACCCACATAGATATATAGATATTTTATACGTACATGAAGAAGCATTTTCAGCTTTTGATTAGATCTTCACTAATTACTTTTTTCTCATTCAACAGGTGCTAATTATTCGTCAACATATGTCAAATCAATTCATGAGTTCTTTTCCTTCAAGCATTCAACTTTCATTTCTTTAAAAATTTTTCCTTCTGGGTTTGAGCCTCCATACACATACGTGCATCTATATATATATATATATACATATCTATATATATAGATTGCAGAAGCTGAGGACTAGTTTTGTCAATGGAGAAGCTTCTTAATCCTTACGATAAAGAGTACATGAGGATGGCAATGATAAAGCACGAAGAAACTTTCAGAGAGCAGGTAAAATTTCTTTTTTCTTTTCAAGTTTTTAACTTTATCATGGAGCGAAATTCGGAAATATAGTTTAGAAAAAAAAAAAAAAAAAAAGAGCTTGAGAATCAATTTATATAATTGCAGGTATCCGAACTTCATCGCCTATATGAAATCCAGAAGATACTGATGAAGAACTTGGAACAGAATCCATGGAGTTTGAAGAGTACTAATGCTCTTAGTCAAAGCTCAAAACTGAAACTTGATCTGGAAAGACCAGCTGACGAGTACATTGCAGCATTAAACAGGTCAGATCGAGCAGTAGAGATTTTAGACGAGAGTGAGATTGAATTAACCCTGGGCCCATCCTGTTACAGTACCAGAAGAAAGAAACCATCCGAGACGCCATCAAAATCTGATTCCCCAAGTTTTTCCTCCTCCTCCACAGGGTCTAGTCACATAAACAGGACAAGTAAGATTAGGGAAACAAGAGAAGAATCCGCCGGCAAGTGCGTCGGTGGCCGGAAATTGAGTAATCTCCGGCAAGTTCCGGAGGTGAACTTGGGATGCCAAATTGGAAGTAATAGTAATAACAGTACTGTTAATCTTGAAGATCAGTTGAGACAGGAGAGACTAAAACAGCCTCCTTGGTTTTTCCAAGTCTTGAGCTTGAACATGACTTAGGAAGAAAAAAAAAAAAAAAGAAAAAGAGAAGAAAAGAGAATTGTTTTTTTGGACAAAGGGGGGTCTTTGGAACCTTGTTCCAGATTAAATTTTCTCTCCAGATAATTTTCTCGGATTTTAAGTCGACATCGAGAAGGTTTTAGGCTGCTTCTGATGATCATGCGATCTCCAAATGTTTGGGAAATTTTCTATTTCCTCTGTTTTTAGATTAATGGGTGATCAAGTCTTTTGTATAAAGATTTTCTTGTATTTTCTTGGCTTGCAAAACCCATTGTTACTACAATTATATATTGACTTAACAGCTTGTTAATCTGGTGTTATCCTCTAATGAACTATGCATAACAAATCAGAACTATAATTTCTTGGAGAGCTTATGTTGTGAATTAATCTTTTTTACCAATTTATAGTAATTTAATTGTGTGGTAAAAATGAAAAAAGATAGATAAATTACTGTGCAAAATTACTAACAAAATTTCCCATTACAGAGCACCATCTTTTAGGTTCAATAATGTTGTGATTCCCCCCCCCCCCCCAGACAAGAACATGCATATCAATGGCAGCCTGTCTGTCCTTCAAAGCTTATTCTTACTTTTCGTAAAGCTCTTTATGTAAAAGAATTCAATAATTTTGATACCAGTACCCCACATTGCTGTTCACCAGGTACTGCATTTCAACCCCCGAAAAAGAGTTAGTTTACCTTCAAATTGACTTGGTTTATATATACTGTTGAATGAAACTTTAACCCACCTGCAGGAAATGTATGTATATATGTGCATATATATACATAAACCTGTCTGGGAAAACAGAGTAATGAAAACCATTTGTCTTCCATTTATACCTCAACTGGCTCAGAATCTAATAATCCAAGGGAGAAAGAACAGAAAAAAAAAAAAGGAAAGAATGGTTCGCTAGTTTTAACTGGTCATGTTCAATTGTAAATATTAGTTTTGGGTCTGACTCGGTTGTATTTTTTTGAAGGTAAAACAAACAATGTTAAAGAGTAAAAATTATGACACCTTAGCAGCTCTACCACCAGATGGAACAATTTTGATTAAAATAATAATCTCGACTTAAAAATTTCGTGAATCTAAATCGCTAACCCTCAAAATCTTAAATTTATCACGACGTTAATCTAATTATTTCAGAATACTTATAAAATTATTGTTGCCAAAAATTTGAGTTATTAATGTTTCCTATTAAAGTTTTATACTGTCAAAAAGTATGTTACATGCCAATATATTTTTAAACTCACTGTTGAATAACATTAATACATGATTATGTTTTCTAAATTGATGTAAAGTATTGTTGTTGCGTCAAAGTTTTGTTTAAAAATAAAAGAATACTTTATGCAACTCTAAATAATAATATCCGATAATTTTTTTATGCGTTAAAAAGAATAATAATTAATATTCTCGTATGATCAACTTGAAATAATGTGATTAAAAAAATATCTGATACTAATAAATTGAGCCGACAAGTTTAAAAGTTGCTCAATCGATATATATTCACACAAAAAATCAAGATAATATAAGAGAAATTGTCATTAAACTCCATGGTGCTCAGACTTAAAAACAAAAAAAATATATAGCTTCAAAGTACTAACTCCCACAATACCACTTTACAGAACCAGCCTGCTCAATTTTATATACTTGTATATTTACAACATAACATCACACAAAAAAGAAACACATGAAGGATTAAAAAAGAGAGAAAACAAGGAGAAAGGAAAGCTATATATGTTTTCCCAAGCCTCAAAAAATCAAACTGACAAGAACACTAAATATATATATATATATATATTTAACTCTCTTGACAAAATGCATTTCAACTTTCATTTCAAGAAATTGAATGCCGCCTATCTTTGCTGGGTTTGGTCCGAGTTTTCGATCCTGTAGTGACTCCATCTGTCCGTACAAAAGGATAAAGCCGTCCCAGCCTTTTCGACACGGTGTTGATAAACGATTTTCGAGGCAGAGGAGGTCTGTCAGCCGACGCCGGAATGATTCCCATTGGACTGTTCACTGCTGATTTAACTATAGCTGATTTTTCGATCTCTTTCATCCTCATTTTCATCTTAACCAGCTCAATTTTCAGGTCCTCATTCTCCCTTTTTAGCTTGGAGAGTTCATCTGAAACCGGACGGTTTTGTTCAGCTGGGTATGAATTCAGCTTGGAAGCAAGGGTTGAAGGAGAATCTTCACTCGAAACGCTGCCGTTCATGACATCCCGGAGACGTTGCTGCTCGTAGTAGAGGACTTGAACGACTGTTTGGACTGGGAGCCTGTCGTTTTGAGCTGCATGAGCACACGCCTCTCTTGATAGCTTTTGACAGTCCATCAAGCTGCATACTTTTTTTCTCTCCATGTCACTCAGCAGGGGATGAGCCTGAAATTCATTACCATTTTTACCCTTATAAACCAAATTCATTCACAGGTAATTAAATACCAAGATAATACAACCAAAAATAAAAAATAAAAAATTAATTTTGTCCAAGTTACAAATTCTCTAATTAACTATTTACCTAATTAATCTAGCTCATTAAACATAAAAACATAAGGATTTAGTTTTAATTCTAGGAGTTAGTCTCAATTTCAAGAAACCACAAGTTGATATGTGGAAATTGCTAATGTTATACAAGCTATTTATGATGTTATACAATTTCATTTAAGAAAACATACCTTGAGGTAAATATCTATCGCTCGGTACATCCCATCTTCGGTTACCCTAAATTGTTCCGGGATAATTTCAGCCAAACCAATGAATTTCGAGACAGATAGATTCCGATCAGAAGCAATTTCTGCAAGGTAATTCTCCATTAACTTCCCTACCCTTTCCATATCATTTGCCAGATGGGAAACATAATCATCCCCTTCGTTATAGCCTAGTCGATTCCCTTCTACTTCAGATTCAAGGTAATTCATCATGATCCGTTGTACGGTATCAACATCAAACAACGTGTCTCCAGTAAAAGAATAAGAAGGAATGAGAAGATCATCAAGAACAGCCTGGCCTAATTGCAATGCCATCCTCTTCTCCAAATCTAGACGGCAGGCTACCGTTGTCTCTAGATAAATTGCAGCACGGAGGAGCATGGAAAGAAAACTAACAGACATTGCATTCCTCTCCCTTGGCAAAAGACTCACTATTGTTTCCAAAACAACTCTCTTCTCGTGCTCTTGTCGCGGTTCCATCTTCTTCCTCCCTTTCCCAAATGTCTCCTGCACTTCCAGTTTAATTTTTTTCAGAGTTTAAACTGATAGAAAAAGACCCACAATATATATTAGACTGAATTATCTATCCTGCACTTCGAGTTTAATTTGCTGAAAAGTTTAAACCGATAGAAAAAGGCTCATAATTTATATTAAACTAAACTATAACTCTTACACTTCTGAGTTTACTTTTCTGAAAAAATTTAAATTGATAGAAAAAAAAAAACCCATAATATATATTAAACCGAACTATTTCAAGATTACACAATGGAACTTTCAGAAGTTGGGATCTCACCAAACCTCGAAGGGATTTCTGAGCGTAGAGCATGAGGACGGGGGCAAGTGCAAATTGTTTAAACCCTCTTGCCATAATTGCAATGAGAACCCTCTGAAATATGTCAATTCTGAAAATAGTTAAGTCTTCAGCCCACCAATCTCCCACTGGCTTATGATGAGAACCTGTTGAAATCGCAACCTCATTGCCTGCAGAATTCCCTGTTGCCCTCCCAGATAAACAGAACTGGCTGTCTTTACAGACAATATAAGCTATGGAATCAATGCATCTGCTCACCAATTTCACTGTCTCTGCAATTGGAAGGAGACATTCTGAAGCGTGCAAAACAGTGACTGCACCTGAAAGGCTCTTGAGCGCCACTTCATTTATATAAGCTTCGGTTCTTTCTACCAGGTTTCCCACTGAGTAGTCCTCTGTCATCTCGAGGTACTCAGCTGCACATCGGAGCATGGCAATGTTTTCGGTGCTTATCTCGAAATTTATTCCGTAACAAAACTTTGCAGCGTGCTCAAATGATTCCGCTCCACCAGGGATGTCCAGGATTTCGATGGCGGAAATATCAGCATCAGTGGATTCTGAAACTAATTTTCTTATGTATCCACACTTTGAGACTAATGGAAACTGCATAGAGTATGCATTATAGTTAAGTTCATGCTTGAAACAATGTTAATATGCTTAGTGATATTACCTGGTTTGTCCATGGAGGAGAGAAAATTTAATCCAAACAAGAGTTACTGTAATACTATAATCATGATTTGAGAATTTCTTAACTAAGCTTCTAGAGTCTGATATGTTATTAAACTAAAAATAACAAGTCAATTGGCAATCGAGTATGTTCTTTTTCATTGATTATTCTTTTCTATTTTTATAGGTAAGGTCTTAAAAAAGGATAAGACAAACAGTGATTTGAAACTGGGAAAGCTGGATAAGAGATTGGAAATTTCTACCTTATGCAATGAAAAAGAAGCTCCACCAACATGAACAGTGACATCACTTGGAATTTCCTGAGAGCAAATCCTGAAAGAAAAAAGAAAAAAGAAAAGAAATTCAAGATATCATGTCGATAATTCTCCTTGCCATTTTCAGATTTTTCTTTGTTAAGAAAAGAAAAAGCAAATAGCCAATTTTTCAAAGTGTACCAGAGAACAGACTGCAGAGGCTTTTAGAAAGAAAATAAAGAAGACAAAGAAAGGAAAATTATTACCATTCACTGGTTCTCTTCATGGCAGTGGACAGAAGCTCTTTCTTTTTGGAGGACATGTTGATTGTAACTGTGGTGGGTGAAGTTTCCTTCTGATTATGATCCGCCATGGCAGAGCTTCAAGGCCTTTTATGATCATGATCATGTCTCCATCATAGAGTAAATGATGATGCCAAAGAAAAGTATAAGAGAGGAAAGAAAATTTAGATGCAGTTTCCTTCACAAACCACTGTACTGAAACATAGAGTAGAGGTCATATATGATGGTATATACCACCTCCCACGCCATGATCTTCCGTACTCTTTCTCTGTTTCTTTCTGGTATCTTTTTCAAATTCTCAATCAGAAGCTAAACTTTAAAAAAAAAAAAAAAAAAATTTGAGAATGTTCATCGGTAATAATGATCAGAAAGAAAAGAAGATCAACCCTCAGTCTCTAACTTCTCGCTAACACTCGTCAACCATTGCTCAATAACCATATTAACCCTCCTCATATTACCTTTTTTCATAATTTTTGACAAGACCCAATTAACATAATCCAATTTTAACACGAAATTACAATAAAACCTCGCTTAGGACATAATTCAAACTAGTTTGACACACCAATTATATATAATAAAAGAAAAGAAAAAGATTTCTTCTGAAAGTTGGTTGGATAAGAGTGGCATTTTGGGGATTGTGGGGGAGAATAGAAGGGTGAATTTAGAATTAGAGAAATGAAAAAAGAGAGTGTGTGGTGTTGGAATTGTATAGTTCTTTTATTCCAAGGATGAGATAAGTAAGTGGCAGCCAATGGTGTCGTTGCCACGTGGCAAGTACTCATATCCACAAAGTAGGCATCTCCTTCTATGTATGTGAGACTTTTGGTTGGTCTCCAACTAATATTCTTTAAAGATTAATTTAGTCTATAACCACCGCAATAAACTAATTAAGGTAATCATTAGCTTTAAATGATTTTTAAGGTTCTTGACTCCGTAGCCAATCAACGAATAAGTAATTTTTTTTTTTAATTTAAATTCTAAAATTATCTCACGGCAATATTAATTAATACTGAAACCAAAAAAAATAAAATAAAAAACAAAAATGAGTAGAAGCTCATAATATAATTAATTTATAAAATTATGGCTAGGGGTTGGTTATAGAACCGGTGGTGTCATGTAAGCATCAGAAGCCCCTTCACATCCTGCAAAATAAACGTCCCCAACCCAACGTTGATTGTTCAAGAGACAGAAAATCAATTTTATGAATTCGTGGATAATATCGTGTCTCGTTATTTCCTTGGATCAGATTCCTAATAATGCAAACTATATAATATAATTAATTATTTAAACATATTATTGTTGAATAAAATTAAAAACGTTCACAAATAATAATAATAATAAAATATATTATTACGTTAAGTTAAATTATAAATAAATTTAAAATTTAAAATATAAACTAATTATCTGATTAATAAAAAAAATTCCATGCAACATTTTTCTGTGTGTGTGGGTCGGATGCCGGGTGGGTATGTTTTTTGAAGTCACAAGTTCACAACAAGGACAGAACAAAAAGCGAAATGAATAATCTTATTGTGGGTTGGACAACTGTATGGCACTGAGGGAGAATAAAATGACAAATTAATAAATTGAATTGAATTGAATTTTAAAAATATTTTTCCGAGTAGAAAATTATTGTTTTACAAATATTAATTAATCTAATTTTATCAAAATATTAAGACCAATAAATATGAGTCTTAATTTATTAGTATGCTGACATAATTTTTTTAGTATCTAAATTAATATAATTTTAATAAATTTATTACATATATATATATTTTTTTTAAGAGTTTCAGCCACAAAATTAAGAAGGTGAACTCTACAGAAAGAAAAAGAATAAAACCACAGCAAAAGCATGACCATAGAAAAGAACTTGTCCCCATCTCACATGGCTTCTGCCGCAGCCAAATGACTTTTCTTTTCTTGCTCTTGGGCGTTAAGGTACCCTATAGATAATAAATTTACAATTTATGTCAAATTAAATTTGTAATTTTTTATTTATTTTAAAAAATTATGAAAATTTTATTTGGGTTTTTTTTTTTTTTAATTCCTTTCATCTTTTATTTCCTTTTTTCTTTTCTCTAATAATTTCTGTAACACCCAATATTTTATTATTTTTATTTTTATTAATTATTATTATTATTTTTATATAAATATAATTATTATTTATATAATTTTAATTTAATTTAATGAAAATAATAATAATAATAATAATAAGGGTAAAAAAATTGGTTAAAGATTTAATTAAAAATAAGTTTGGAGAAAATGAGTGAAAATTTGGGTTTTAGGGGTATTTTTGAAAGAAAAATTAGAAACCGGAGGTCAAAACACAATTTAAAAAAGTTACGACACGTCAGCTGCCCGGTCAGCTGCCCCGACCAACCAGGACACGCCAGGTGGCAGAGGTACTGATGCAGGAGGCCACGTGGGTGATCCGCGTGCCCGCGATCGAACGGCTGATATCCGTTCCCGCGCGCACGGACGACCCATATCAAAAACGCGCACGGACGGCCCAGATTGCATGGCGCACGGACGGCTCAGATTAAATCGCGCACGGACGGCTCAGATTCACTAACTATTTAATCACGATCGGACGGTTCAGATTAAAAGCGATGGCCGGCCCAGATCAAAAGCGGATGGACATAAATTTCTCCTCTCATACGAAATTCAATTTTAAACCCACTCATGGCCAAATCGGAATGAAAGAACCAGCCAATTGGTCGAAAAATGCCATCAATGCTCGGCAGCGCCGCCGCGGGGTGTTTTGAACAATGCTTTCGATGAGACCCTTTCCGATTCCCGTTCGATGTAATTTTTTCACCGTTGTGATCACCGTTTTCTTATCTATAGGTTGTCCGAAACAAAACACCCAACCGTAACGTGAGTCGGAGGAGCCACCGTATCGGAGAGCCCCATCGCCGGTGAGTTTTGATTTTCTGCGTTTTTTCAGCCCACCGAGGACCCTAAGTGTGTTTTCTCGTAGGAATCGGTACAAGTTCGGTTGAATTCAGCCGAAAACAGCCAACCCAAGGCGGATCGTCGCCGGCCGTCACCGAAGCACGGCGGAGCCGCAGTGCCAAAATTTTAAAATTGGCCGAGTAGGCCTTGGGTCTGATTTTTGAGTTATTTAGGACACTTGTAGGTACTGTAAGGACGTTTCAGTTCCCGAAGAAAAATTCGGAGAACCCAAGGACTGCCCGTAGGCGCAGTAATCATCTAGTTTTCGACGTTGAATCAAGTAAGAACCCCTCACCCTATTTTCTATCATGGAATTAAAGTTTGAATAAATGATAATACTGTATTTTATACAAATTAAATAGATATGCATAATTAATTACGATTGCTAATGGAATCCGAACCGGACATTATTCTTTGTCGATTCCTGTTTAATTTATTTTATAGTTTAGATGCATCATGGTATCTGGTTTATCTATTTTATGATTTTAAACGTATGTATCACTGCTTACTTCACTACTGTTTGATTTTGGGAATCTAAGATATGATTGCATTGTTGGATGCACGTTACTTGTTTATGTATTTATGTTTAATTTGGTGACGGAGATTAATGACAAATAGAAATGGAATGTGATCTGATAAATAGATAAGATGACAACATCACTAGATATCCTGAAAGATGGTGGACAGACCAAATTCATAGGGAACTTTACCGTGAACGTTGTCTCATACCGGACGGGGTATAGAGACTTGGTCATTTAGCGCTTATACTGGACGGGTATGGGGACGATCCGCTTCATCCTCATTCCGGACGGGGTATAGAGACTTGGTCATTTGGTGCTTATACCGGACGTGGTATGAGGATGACCCGCTTCATCCTCATACTGGACGGGGTATTGAGGTTTAATATCTTGACACTCATACCGAACGACGTATGGGGACGACCCTAGAATTAATATTGTTAATAGAAAGAGTTCACGTGTAGTGGGGATACCCCTATGGATCCTCATTAATATGAGTAGGCTGGTGAAATGAGAAACGTTAATAATTAATTATTGTTAATGAATATGAATTTATGATATGTTCTATGTTACTGATTGTGCATGAAGTTATGATCTGTGTGATGTTATTATCTTTATAGGTTATTTTCACAGGTTCTCCAAGGGTAAGAAAAAGAAAAAATGGTTTTAATTTTAATGAATGTATTGGTTTAAAATTTGTGCTTCATTGGTTGTTTTTGCTTTTCTACCAACTTTTACTTCTGTGACGGCGGTATATTGTGATGTCCTTACTGGACTAGTGTAACTCATCCATTATTTAACTATTTCAGATCAGGAGGACCCGGTTCTCGAACCCGATCCACAAGAGGGCTACGAGTAGATGTTAGATACTTTATAATTTCTTTTATTTTTTCATTTTTCGTATTTCTTTCAAAGAATTTGTTCTGTGATGTTTGTTAATACTGTTGAATTATCATATAATGGATGTTAACCTTAATATTTATTTCGTTTCCGCACTCAAATTATTTTATGCATTTCTTTTTAAATTTTCGGGGTCGTTACAATATTTCCACCTTCAAACATTATACATATATGTATGTATACACATACAGCTTGCAAAATTAGCGGTCTTTAAAATTAATCACTGTATATAATTGATATGATGAAGTAATTTAATAATTAAAGCGAGATTTAAGATCAATTATTCGTAGATATCTACATATAAAGACACTAATAAATTAGCAGGAAATCAAATTTGAGGTCAGTCAATGAAAAGATATATAAAATTAATTTGTGCATGAGATTTTATAGACAAAACACTACTAAACATTACAAAAATTTCTGTACAAATATAATAAATAAATCTCTTCATAAAATATATATATCATAATCACAGATCATGATTTTAAACTTTATAATTATATTATGAATCTAAGTGCTACTCATTAAATAATTATTGAATTTAGAGTAATTTGTGTTTAGAAATTTAAATTTAAATTATTAGTAATACAAATTCAATACTTAAAATTTTTAATGTAAAGGAATCACAATGAGTCGAAGTAGCCTTCGTGGCCTCCAGCGGACAGCCCGTTTGTTGAGTTATTGGGCTTCAAAAGCAAACAGAAGTAAAAACTAGGCCCAGTAAGGTTGCAGCTTCATCCCTGAAATCCGCCTTAAGTTATTTCCATCACCGAAACGATGTCGTAATAGCAAAATAATATCCTTTTCGGCTGATATCTGCCAACTGCGCCCGTTCTTTATGCTACTACCTTATCCTTCCCCCCACAAAACCCCTGCAACACGCCCACGCAAAACCCTGCTCTTCTAATGGCAGCAAGCAAGAGCTAAGCTCACGATGCATAGAACCACAGGCCCCATTCTCTTAAATTCGGATTCCTAAATGTTTCTTCATCTTCCTTCCAGGAACACCCACTTCACATCTCCGTTTCTTTTCACTCATGGAGCTTTCTTCTTCTTTCATTCACGTCCCAAAACCAAGCCGCTCGTCTCCTCTCCCTGATTTCTCGTTCTCATCTTCTTTATCTCAATTTCCCCTCCATTTCCACACCAAAACAGCAAAATTCGTAAAACCCACTTCTCAGGATCTCCGTATTTTCGCCGTCGCTGTCGACCCACAAGAGCTGCCCAGTAACAGCCCGCAGAGACTGCTGAAAGAGCTAGCGCAGCGTAGAAGAGCCACTGGTCCAAAGAAGAAGGTTCCTCCGAGGAGATTCATACTGAAACCCCCACTAGATGACAAGAAATTAGCCGAGAGATTCCTCAATAGCCCGCAATTGTCGCTCAAATCGTTCCCTCTGCTGAGTTCGTGCTTGCCGTCTTCGCGACTCAACAATGCTGATAAAACTTGGATTGACGAGTACTTGCTTGAAGTTAAGCAAGCTTTAGGCTACCCATTAGAACCGTCTGATCAATTGGGTGATGACAACCCAGCCAAGCAGTTTGATACATTGTTGTACTTGGCGTTTCAGCACCCGTCCTGCGACAGGGCGAATGCGCGGCACGTGAAATATGGGCATTCGAGGCTTTGGTTCTTGGGTCAGTACGTGCTTGAGCTGGCCCTTGCGGAGTATTTCTTGCAGAGATATCCGAGAGAATCTCCAGGGCCGATGAGGGAGCGAGTGTTTGGGTTGATTGGGAAGAGGAATTTGCCCAAGTGGATTAAAGCTGCGAGCTTGCAGAATTTGATATTTCCTTATGATGACATTGACAAGTTGATTAGGAAGGAGCGTGAGCCAACTGTGAAGTAAGTTTTTGCCAGTGCTTTTCTCTATACTATCAGATATTGTTTCTGAATCTCGAAGTTCTTTGATCAGGAATTTGATTGCCTTCTGAATTCATATAAACTGAATACAATTAATAAGGTGGTGAACTAATTACCTTCAGGTCAAAAGGTTTCAGCTTTATTTTGTTGCTAACATCTATATGTAGAATGGGGAGCAGATGAATTGTTAAGTTCACCATAAATATAAATGAACTGGAAAACAGTTTCGATTTAGATCTTTTTCAGAAATTTATGTAACAAACATGGTAGCCTAGAAAGTGGTCTGCTACGTAGCTTTTGTTCTGCAATGTCTCAGCAGGGCATGCATATTTAAAGCTTGATTAAAAATTCTATTAAATATAGAACTAGAAGAAAGCATTCCAGATTTTGTAAATTTTGATGGGATTTAAATGGATTGTTTTATTTTCACTTGGAATTCTTTCTGATGTCAATGTTTATCATCTTAGATGAGATTTCTCACCATATCACGGGTAAATTAGGTGGATTTCCAAATATTAATTTGTTCCAAAATAGTCTTATTGTTCAAGGAGTAATGNNNAGAACAAAAGTGGACGACTTCTGAATTTTTTGCTGCTTCATCCAGGTTCATGCCTGATTAAATTCCTCTTTTTCTATGGCTATCTTTATTCCAATATAATTACGTTGTGGATGGCACAAGACCACATGTCCCCTCTATTTAGTATTTACTAGCCTCTAGGAGCCATTTTTCCCTTCTGCAATTCTCAATTTAGATCAGTAGGTATTTTAGACAAAACTTCAAGAATTGTACAAAAAATTCTTTACTTTTTTCTCCCAGCTTTGCTGTAGATCTTCTAATGTCACATATGTCATGATTAATAGAGTTATGACGTGCTTGATATTTATTTCTGTTGGTGGCAGGTCTGTGTTTTGGGCTCTGTTTGGGGCTATATATTTATGCTATGGTATGCCAGAAGTATACCGTGTTCTTTTCGAGGTATTCGGAATGGATCCAGAGGCTGAGGACTGTGAGCCAAGGTTGAGAAGACAGCTAGAAGATGTAGATTACGTATCTGTGGAGTTTGAAGGCAAAAAATTGAGCTGGCAAGATGTTGCTGCGTACAGAGTATGTTATAGTTTTTATTGGTTCTTCTCTTCCCACTCCCTACTTTAAAAAGAATGTTCAGTCAGGGGGATTTGGTTATCCTTGATCATGAAAGTACTATGGAAAAGCTGATTTTTTTGTCAAAAACTTGCTTATTCTGCATACAGCCTCCTGAAGATGCTCTGTTTGCACACCCAAGGCTATTCAGGGCTTGTGTTCCTCCAGGCATGCACCGATTCCGAGGAAATATTTGGGATTACGACAGCAAACCCCATGTTATGCAGACGCTGGGATATCCATTGGCAATGACCGATAGAATCCCGGAGATTACAGAAGCTAGGAATATTGAACTGGGGCTTGGGCTACAGGTGATTCTTTACATTCTTTTTTTTTAATTGAAGGGTTGGAAGGAGTGACTGGTATAGTCACACCTCGTTGGACATGTCCATAGTGGTTTTCACCCACTCTGGAATATATGGTTTGAGTCGTAGGTAGTATAAATAGAGACTGTCATTGCAGTCCAGTTTAGATGTAAACAGAAGGTCTTCCTCTCTAGAATGGCTTAGAAGTATGTATTACTATTGTATGCTTGTCTGCGGGTTCTAATCCATGATCTCCCTGCCAAAGAAGTAGGCTTTCCCACTTAAACTACCTTGAGGGTGATCCTTACGTGCATTTAACAGGATATTTTTCAATCTGACTGTATACAACAATAGAAGATGATAACTTCTATTTGTTCCAAACTGGTTTCAGTTGTCATTTGCTATTACTAGATTCTACGGCTACGAGTGGTTTAGCACTTGTTTTGGATGCTCTCAAGATTAACCTTTTGACTAACTAAACTTTCAACTATTTGATATGGTTCAGAGTTTGTAAAATCTCAGTCGGTCATATGACTTGCTGGAATTTGTTAAGAAACTTGCTGGTATTTTTTTTTTCTGATCTGTTGCCTGTCAATTACAGCTCTGCTTTTTGCATCCGTCGAAATATAAGTTTGAGCATCCTCGGTTTTGCTATGAGCGGTTGGAATATGTGGGCCAAAAGATACAGGTAAGTGCCTCCCTGTTAATTTCTTTATCTCATTTTTATTCCTCAGGTCAGATACACTTCTTCCTAGAAAAATCAATTTATATTTGTTCAGTTCAATTTTACTCTACTTTCATTCCATTCTTAGATTTTAGTTGCTTGATGTGTAGAATTTACTCATAATATATATAATGTATAATTGAGCCACATTCACTCATATCTTCAATTTTATAATGATACAAGTTGAGTTGCACTTGTAATTTCTTTAAGATTATAATACTATTTTTTATTTGAATGTTTATCCAATTTGTATTGTGTTAATATTATTATATAAAATTAAGGTTCTGAGTAGTATATAAAAACCTTTTCTAGTTTTTATTTTAAATTTATACGTAGTTTATTCACAAAATAGTATAAGTTAATTAATAAATAATGGAGAAAATAATAATGAAAATGATGATAAAATTAAAAAACTTTGAAATGTTGGTTAGAAAACTATTTGTATGTTCTTTGATTGTTCAACACAGACATGAACTTAGAAATGAAAGATTATAAAATATTTTCGTATAAAACTGTAAAAGTTTCTCTTGAAAGAATGGAAAGGGTTAAATTTGAGCAAACTTAACCTTAATAATCATGGAATGTTCTCAATTTCAGGACCTTGTAATGGCTGAGAGGTTGCTGATGAAGCATCTGGATGCTCCTGGGAGGTGGCTACAGGAGAGGCACCGGCGAATTCTTATGAACAAGTTTTGCGGGAGATATTTGAGGGAAAAACAACTCCATCAATTTATCATCTACTCCGAACAGGTTCAAGATGCATTTGAACATAATCGGAGACTGAGAAACCCTGCGACAACTGCTGTACAGCAAGCCCTTCACGGGCTCTCGTATACTGTTTACGGGAAGCCAGATGTGAGGCGCCTCATGTTTGAGGTTTTTGATTTTGAGCAAATCCAACCTAAAGCTGTGTGAATATGTCTAGGAAAACGGTGAAAGCTTTGTTACTTTCTTCTTCAACCTTGGAATTCTTTATGGAGCAATTTTTCATCCTGCTTCTTCTAACAGGAATTTACCATTAGTGGTATTTTATAAGTTGTAACACATTCTTCTTTATTCATAATTTATATCTCTATAATGTTTAAACCCAGCAGACCACGCAGTTTTGGCACATCTTCATGATGTTGATTATAATATTTTTTTATAAAAAAAAAATTAAGACATTAAATTAATTAAATTACTATGATATAATGTCTGTTTATATTCTTATTTGATAACGTGACTAATGTTATAAGATTATTTGTATTTATCTAATTAATTTTTAATAAATAAGAATTTGAATTTCTTAAAATGAGAATGGTTTGTGAATTACAAACTAAAATTAATCATATTAAATTAATTAAATAAATTATTAAATGATTTTCATGCTTAACTCAATTCTAAACTTGATGGAGATCGGAGATTGCACTCATATAATCATAAAATGTAAATAATGACAAATCACAATTAATCATAAGGCAAGATTTTTTACCATATTATTCACTCGCAATAATTTTCTTTGTTACATAAAATACAAAGTCTTCATTAATTTATTATATTTTTAAGAAAAAAAATATTTAATTATAATAAATTTTTTTTATTAAATATATTTTTTTATAATTATATTATAAATTATTAATTATGGGAGTATAATATTTAATTTAATAAATTTAAATTTTAATTTATTTAATCTAATGTTACAAGCACAAGAAGTCCCCACCCACCAGCGCGGTGCGCACCCGTCCCTCTCCCCAAAAAAGTCCCAGCCAACGAACGCCCATAGACCAGACGACAACCCAACAGCTACCGTAGCTTTTATTTATTTATATATATTTTTCTCGTTTCCCCAAAAACACATGTTCAAAAAGCCTTGCTTTATTGTAAAATCCCCGCATGAACGAAAGATGCTCGCACCAGGCCATCACTACTAGTTGTCTACTGTTCTTTCCCCGCTTCTTGCTACTGTGCGCTCTCGTTGTGTTGCATCTGCCGCTAGTTCACAGTCCGATCCTTCCCGCTCCCATCGCCTTCGAAATCGTCGATAACGACGAGGATTATAAGCACACTGATAAGAGCGGCAATACTGATCATAAGATTGATAGTTTTGGTCCCAGTTTCGTCGAGATCTCGGGGTCGAATCGGCGCGTAATGTCGAAGGCACGAGTCTATACAGACGTGAACGTTCTTCGCCCAAAGGAGTACTGGGATTATGAGTCCCTTACCGTTCAATGGGGGTAATTGCTTCTCCTTCGTAACCCTAGGCCTAATCTATCTAGTTCTTCTCTTCTCTTCTTAATTTTATATGTTAATGGCATCCGTTCTGTTACATATCGAGACAGACAGGAAGGGACTACCGGTTCTTTTTTCTTTTCTTTTTCTCTATTCAGTTATCGGATCAGGTTTTAGCTTCTTACCTGATTCTTGATATCGAAAGCCTTCGCGTAACTGTATTGTCGACAGAAACTTAATGATAATCACACACAAAAACAACAAGATTTAATGGTGAATTTCCCTTATGGTACCATTTCTAACGATATAAGTATTAGGGGCGTTCATGGTGAATTTGGTTGTGAGATCTGTTTCCTACTTTTGGGTTTTCTATTGTTGATTGGAGCTGTGTGCATTTCTTTTTATGTTCTTTTTTCAGGGATCAAGATGATTATGAGGTTGTTCGTAAAGTTGGAAGGGGAAAATATAGTGAAGTGTTTGAGGGTATAAACGTGAACAGCAATGAAAGGTGCATTATCAAGATCCTCAAGCCTGTTAAGAAAAAGAAGGTGACTATTTTATGTTTCTGCAGAAATCTTGTAGAAAATTATTTTTTACCGGATTAGGTCCGTTTTCTCTATACTTATTTTTATATCATTCATTCTTGTAGACAAGAGGGGAGGTTGGTTAATGTATCAGCATTTAACTTATGTTTTCAGTATTATTCCCGTGGCTGCAACATCTTATGGTCTTTTTCTACAGATAAAAAGGGAGATAAAAATACTTCAAAACCTCTGTGGTGGGCCAAATATTGTCAAGCTTCTCGATATTGTTAGAGATCAGCATTCAAAAACCCCAAGTTTGATATTTGAGTATGTGAACAGCACAGACTTCAAAGTTTTGTATCCCACATTGACCGACTATGATATACGCTACTATATATACGAGCTTCTCAAGGTAAATTTTTGCAGTGGGTGTATTTTAGATTATATGCCTCAACTTGCACTGCCATGTTCATTCATGAATTTGACTTGAGAAAAATTTAATGTATTTCACATCAATAATCGACATAGTTCAGAAAAAGGGATTGCTTGGATCACACTGAGAAATTGAGTAACAAAAGAATCACACTAACTGTCCCTTAAGCATCAGAACTAAGGTTTAGATGTATCACAGAATCATGCAGAAAAAAGTCTCAGAAAATTCTTTGTACAATTATTCATTGTGAAAGAAAAAATAATGGTCTGCTCTAATTTAACCTTCTGATTGGAATGAGAAACTCCAGCGATAAAGTTGAAAGAAGGTAAACCATAAATGAAATCATGATCTTCCTCGTGTTAAATAATAGATTGTGATTGATCATCCCAAAAGCTTAGGTTAATAGTAAAATATATAATTTAGTATTTATACATTAATGCCATATTGCAACAAATGCAGTTCTTAATATATTTAAAAAGCCTAAGTATAATTCTCCAGTATCAAAATGTAGGTGGTTAATCTTTCCAATACTGGAAAAAGAAAAGTTAGAGTGAGGTGTTCCTTCAAAATAATGTAGGTGCTTTTGGTTACTCACCTTCTAGTACAATACCACTCAGGGACTTAGATTTTCTTTTTGCAGCACTCGTGATAATTGACATTCATGTGTTGAGTTCTGTGAAGATACAATCACTCTCAGTTCTTACCTAATGTATTGGATTTCCACTGTTAAAATCAGCTATCTCCCCGCCTCCCCCTATACATTATTTTGCTCGAAAAGTTTGTTTACTCTTCTTGGTTGAACTGGTTTTCTTCACATGCTTCTGTGTGTGAACATTCAGCGATTGTTATTGGTAATTTTGTATTTTCTGTTTCCTTTTTCTTTTCATACTGCTTCATTTTACGTCCATGTGAAATAAATGTATGGTTAATGCTGATTGGATATCCTCTTTTCCAACAAGCTATAATTGGATTTTCAGGAAAGACATGGTATATCTTTGAAATTCCTAGTCTTATGTGGGTGTTCTCATATTGCTGCTAAGCATCCAAGCATCTATTGCTTAGACTTGTATTGTTTCCATTGTTGCACATCAAATAAGTAGTGTTTGATTATTCCTTTTTGGAAGGAAATTCCAAAATCTTTTATATTGGTGTCTACTTTTTAGTTTTAAGGCTTGTTTCATTATAATTTTCTTCTCATTACATTACAGGCATTAGATTACTGCCATTCACAAGGAATAATGCACAGGGATGTCAAGCCTCACAATGTAATGATAGATCATGAATTGCGAAAACTTCGCTTGATAGACTGGGGTCTTGCTGAATTTTATCATCCTGGAAAAGAATATAATGTTCGTGTGGCTTCTAGGTAATGATTCAGAGATATTACTGAATACATGAATGACTAGTGGTCCAGCGCGAATATGAAAAAGAGGAAAGGAGAAAGAGAAAAGCAAGTAGTTGAGATAAAGAGATAGCGTACTTGTTTGATGGGGTTATGTTGGGCTGAGTTGTAGGATCTCCCTCTATCATGTCACCTTTAGAAAGTCTTTTCAGACTCAGCCAGTTTGAATTATGGATCCTATGATTGAAGTATGAGTGTCTTTTCTTCCTTGTTTTCCAGGTACTTCAAAGGGCCTGAACTTCTGGTTGATTTACAGGATTATGACTATTCTTTGGACATGTGGAGCCTAGGTTGTATGTTTGCTGGTATGGTAAGGATTACTGTTACTGAGTCTTTTATCTTAATAATGTATTATGCATTATAAGAAATGGAAGTGCAAGTTACATGGAGCATTTTTATTTTTCTTATGTTGATTTCGTTGGAGGATACTTGTCTTGGATTGGTGTTTACATTGTATGTGTTCTTCATGCAGATATTTCGGAAGGAACCGTTCTTTTATGGTCATGACAACCATGACCAGCTTGTGAAAATTGCAAAGGTAATTCTGATTCCATAGAGTGACCGATTGACTAATCCCATTGTCATATTATGGTTGTTTAATCAAGCTTCTTGCCAGTTGGCAAAGTAACTTTTTTTGCAGTTCAGAATTTATTAATTATTAATCAAGCTTCTCGCATGTGTCTGGAATAACATTTTGCACTTGAAGTATATAGTTATCCTTACAAAGGAAATTTGGATTATTCCATATTTTATACTTTTTCTATATGCAGAAGATTCTTTTGTCAATATTTGGTATGAGTTTTATCTTTGCCCCAAATAAGATATGACTTCCAGTGTCTATATCATAGTGCTCCATCTCTTTAAATACTGATTCATTGAAGTTTTTGACATCTGCTATGCTTATTGGCTACCATAGTTTATGGTTGGAATGGTGGTATAACTGTTGAAGACTTTCGTATTGACTACTTCATGCAACTTCTTGCATCTTAATCAGGCCAATCTTATAAGAAAAAATATCAGCATCTAATACTGAGTTCCTAGTTGTTTTTATTTGGTTCTGTTATTGTATCTATATGAAAATTATAAGGCATAAGGAGGCTACTAAGGGCGCTTTTCCCAATTTTATACTATTAGAAAACAGTTCTATAACTATGACATGTATTTCTCAGACAAAGAGATATAAATAGTTCCGATCTGCAGTTAGATTGCTTCTAAAAGAATGAGCTCTCAACTAGCAACACTTATTGAGAGATGTCGCTGCTGTATGCGGGAGCTCTGCTTTATCTTCTTTAAGCTTGGATATCCACTGACCATATTATATTTCCACTAAGGACCATATTATATTATATGCATGGATTTACTGCCATGGTGTTGGTGATAGTGGTTGCCAAAATGTAGTCATTGAACAACTAGTTCCAGTTTTTTGTAAAAAAAATATTTAGAAATTCAAGTTTTTGACAAATTTAGTGGACACCATATAATTCTGTTAAACTATTGATCTTGTTTCAGGTACTGGGAACAGATGAATTAAATGCATATCTGAACAAATACCGCTTAGAGCTTGATCCACAATTAGATGCACTTGTTGGGAGGTAAATTGATTTCTCATGATCTAATCTAATACCACAGGAATTTAATAAAAATGAAATTAAAAAAAATCCACAAAATCAGAGTAGTTAGATAAAAATACAACTATCCACCGTGGGTAGGGTATTGGCTTACCCTATCCAGGTGAATTCTGCTTGCCAAATACTGGGTAAGATCGTGTTCACCCTTTTATTTATCCTACCATATCCAGTGAAACAAGGGTGTTCTTAATGTTGAAATACTGTGATTTCATTTTTCTTCCCTGCACGTCTGCAGCTTCAAATTATAGACATCAACATTAAATGAAATAGCTTGAAACTGGTTTTGGTAATGTTGTGATATGTTGCCAATACTGCAGGCATAGCCGAAGACCTTGGTCCAAATTCATCAATGCAGATAACCAGCACCTAGTGTCTCAGGAGGTCATTTTCTTTTTCCCTTGAGACATTTAGAAACTCAACCGTAATATCATTTTGCACTGCTTCTATTCCCAATTATTTGTGTTGAATTTCTTTGAGGTGTCTACCATACAGGCCATTGATTTTCTTGATAAGCTTCTACGGTATGATCATGAGGACAGGCTAACTGCAAGAGAAGCAATGGTAATTGCCTACAAGTTTATTTCCCATGTTCTTCTGGTCTTTTACTTAAAATTGAATTTATTTTGTTCAATGTTGGCCTATTGTTTTCTCTAATATATGTTTTTCCCCCTCTATTATATGATTTGTCCTTGTTGAATTGGATCAGAATTTTTGTGCATTGGTTAGAGTAAAAATATGTAATATATCTTGTTATCTTAGTTATCTTTCAAATTACACATGGACATCTATCTAGTTCTTGTCTTCTTGTTGGTCTGTTTGCTTATAAGTTGGTGCCATTTTTGTGTTTATGCTGCAGGCTCACCCATATTTTTCTCAAGTGAGGGCAGCAGAAAATAGCAGGATGCGGTCATAGTAGCCTTTACATCAGCCCGCTTGTACATAAGTTGTTACTGTTTTGAAATGTATTTTGCTTGTAATACCTGCGTGAAAAACATTGTGGTTGATTGTCAGCGTTTTCAGTTGACACATTTGTTTGGAGGTTTGCAGCGTGATCTTTTGAAGTCGTGATCATTGTCCGTGAGAGAACAATTAGTATTTTGAATTTTCAAGACTCTTGTCTATAAAATTTTCCATTAGGAGGCTTTTTGCGCCATCCATGTTCCATGTATAATTAAAGTTGGAGTTATTGCTATAGTAAATCATGGCATTACCCTACATAGCACACGAGAAAGATGAGGTCCTGGACACTCAAAGTCCTTTTCCAGCTCATTATCTGATAAAATCAGTTCATCGTATAATTGTTTATGATTAGGAACTGCAATTATGCCTAGAAAGTAGACACAAAGGAAACCCCATAAGGATTCAGGTAACCCCTAAACCTTCCTTTGTATTTGGAGAATCCATATTAATTGTTATTATTGTTTCTGTTCTGGGAGTAACAAACTCCTACAAAGAAAAAAAATTATCCACAGCGGAAGGTTGCTATCATTCAACAGCAAAGAGAAATAGCACTTCTGTAGGCCTTTCCTCATTTGAAAAATAAAAAACAAAAAATCTAGACTATTGTTGAATCGATGAGCTATTATACTTAATACTCAGGAACATTAAGAAATTCAACAATACTTGATCCTTCTCGTCCAAACAACAGCAGATGTACTTCATTGAGGTGTTACTAATTAGCCCTTGGCTGAACTTTAGTATTCCACCTCAACAAAGAGACAGAATGTTCGAACACTCAGATTGACGATACACAGATCAAACCAGTTTCACCTTCAAAGATAAAACACATTTGTCTAACTAATTGATTTGCAAGTATTTGGGGTAACCATAATAAAGATTTACATAAGTAAACATAGTGCCCCGACCTATCTGTAAGTAACCCTCCACTTTCATTCATTTCTTAAGATGGGGAAAACATGCGTACATATCCGACTTGGGGTGCTTTGCCTCCGCATGCTCCCTGCACTTCACCTCTGAAGTTGTACACATGAATGTTTGCATGCATACTTTGCACTGCAATCAAAATCCAGTGATCTGTTATAGAGTGATCAACTAATACAGGCACAACCACTCTAGCACTGAAATTCAGTTACATAAATATATATTTCTCGATTCATAATCTCTGATTGTAGACATCAGTTCCAATTTAAAGCACTATTTCAAATTAACAGAAAAGGCTACAATCAAACGACCTTTTTAAGCTAACAAACCTGCTGTTTTCAATGCAGAAGCAGTTGCCACTCTCTTTCTATTTCTTTCTTCCCCATCCCTCCTAAACATAACTTAATGCACAAGACAAAGAAACAGACTACACTGATCCTATTAATGTGAAAATTTACAGACAGAATAGCAAAAAAAAATGCACAAACCACCATGCCATGGTCTGTTTCTAGTTCTTCCATTCCATCTCGTAAAAAGAACTGAACCCACACAACAACAAGACACTCCAAAAATAATCTCATTTAGGAAACGTCTAATATGTCTGTCAAAGAATCTGCCAACATTAGATATTCTATCTCAAAAATATCAATACATATGAAATAACCAGCCATTACAATTAACAATTAATGCAACACGAAATGCAGGAGGAAAGAAGCATCATTGGCAACAAAATTAAATCTATATGTTTAGTCATTTCCATCATGCTCTAATTCCTTCCTCATCTGACCGGCTTCTTGCCCAAATAATAAATACTGTTGTTCAGCAAGTATAATGAAAACTCGTGATTGGGTTATAGATAATCCTCAATCCATGGTATCCTAGATATAATATAGAATGAACTTAACAAGGTAGAAACTAACTAGCTAACTATTTATACAAAGTATGGAAAAAAAAAATAGAACAAAATAACTATCTATCTTTCACCGAATATAGCAAGTAAAACAGTTAAAAGTATGAACAGCATTCAACAATAGCAATAAACAACAAGGTTACCTGGATCGTCATTGCTTTCTTGTTCGAATCCAACTGGCTTCCTGCAAATGATCAAATAGATGATCAAAGCTCCGCATAAGAACCGGATTCTACAAATATATGAAATATTACATTTATAGTTATCCCCAAAGGCATCTTTTTGGTTCGTATACAACAGTAAAATACGAGAGAAACAAAATGAACACCAGATTCTGAATTCGTCCTAATCACTCTAAATTCAAGAAATCAACATCGATTAGATAGAAAACAGGTCCATAAGACGGACAATCACTCTCGATTTCCGTTCTGTTCCTCACATACCAAACAGAAGCTGGAAAAAAGAAAAGACCAGGAAAAAGGGGTATTCTCACCTTTAGCAGCAGCTTTTTGCTTCTCCATGTTCTTCTCACGGGCCATCTTCGACTTTTGGCCATTGCCTCCTCCCATCTCCGATCCACTTATCGGAAGGGGATCCGAATACAATCCTAATTTGCTAATCTGATAGAAACGCGACCGTCAAGAGGCAATTGGTTTCGGCAGAAGGAAGTAGGGATTTATGCGGCACAAGGAGGACAAATGATAATGTCACCCGCGGCTCAGTCACTCTCCAATTACTTGCCGCTATGTATTAGGCGTTGATTTTGTGGTGAATACCTTTTTGGGCTTACCGGACCAAGATAACATGGACCATGTTTTGCCATATTGGGCTTCCTGTTTGGTCCGAGGGTTGTTATTTGAATTAAGGTAATTAATCAGTGTTTAAGGGCTGGGCTTTTGGTAAATAAATCAATTATCAGATGAGTGTGTCTATATCCACCTGTCTATACAAAAGCAATGGTTGTAATTAATGTTTATTTGAAAAATCAATTAATATTGTATATTAATATGACCAAATATTTCACAACTGATTAATTTACTTAAACTAAAACATTTTTAAGAAATTACGTGGGCAAAAAATTCAAACTACACAGATTCAGTTTGTCTCTGATGATTGGTCTCATATTCTATTTGTATAAATAATAAAAAATTTAAATTATTTCGTCCATTTGATTTTAGTATTTATTTAATTTTAGTATGATATTGTAATATCGTTCATATTACCTCAGTCTGGACCAACGATTGAAGGATTGATTTTTAATATTTAATTTAGAACTAACTCCATATAAATTGACGTTGGTCATAAGTTTATAATTTAAAAGAAATGATATAAAATATGCTATAAAATTTTGATTTGAGTCCACCGGAAACGCTGCCAGAGGGCTCTCCCTAAAACGGTGCGTATTGCATCTACATAACTAAGGATTTTCTTTTACCCCGGTGGATTCAGTTTCCCTTACATAGGCATGGCCAGTGATTCCGTCCATGCCAAACAACAGTTGAGCTTCAAAGGCGGGTATTACGATCTTCATCAAATTCTCCGAGTCAGATCTCAGAGCAACCCCAACAAATCGCCAATCAGCTTCTACTGATTTATTTTCTCTGCCGGAGATCTAAATTCTAGTTTTCTTCTCTCATTTTCTTTTTGAAATCAATGGGGGTGGTAATCGAGAGCTCTGTTTGGGAGCCGGCTCCCTCTCTTTTCATCTTCATGTTCGTTTGCTGCTTCTTGTCGATAGCGCTCTTTCCTTACTTCTCCAAGAACAGAGCCATCACTACCTTTGATCATGGAATTTCATCTTCCTTTCTTATCTTCCAAATATACTTCCTGTTCCTCTATTCCCTCTCTTCAGGTTGGTACTTGCATAAATACGTTCGTAAATACGTATATATATATGTAGATTCATATGCACACGAGTGTCTTTGACTCATAACCACATGATGGTGCGATAACGATTTGCTTGTCAGAGGAAGCGAGAATTTGGAGGAAATCTGTTTTTCTTGTTATAATGTATCTTAAAGGAGTGTCTTAGGTTCAGGAATCAAAAGGATGGATTGCAATTTGTTTTGTATATTTCCATTACTCATAGCCAAGCAGGTGAACTTCGTCGTATGCTTTTGTTGAGTCCTTCTTTTTCAGTAGTGGATTGAGAATCTGGTGTCTTTTGCTTATTTGCTCTCAGTGATGGAAGGCCTGTGGTCCGTCTACGGAGAGGCTGAGCTTGTTTACTATGGAATCACTAAGGAGCAAATCGTGTCTTATCTTTGTGTGGGATATGCAGCTGCTCTCCTTGTTGGTTCTTTCGTAGGAATGCTTTCTGATTTGATGTAAGTGATTCTATGGACTATGGTAGTGGAAGTGGTTCATCTAATAGTGGTGAGTATAGTGACAATGGAAAGGTTTGCATGGAAAAATTTATAACGAATAATAATTGCACCAAGCAATTCAACAATGGCTAATGCAATAATATGCATGAACGATGTCCAGCACTTCTGTAAAAACAAGTTAATGGAAATTGATGATAGATTTTGAACATAGAAGTTAATATACAGTGCAAACTATTTTAATAATCTAAATATTTTGATCAAGAAACTATAATCGCAAAAATGAAAATAGAATTTTATTATATTTGTGTAAAATGAAGGCACTTTTCTCCATTTTGTGCTTGGAATAGTTCATCTTTCATTTCTTTCTGTATTGCCCCATATACCAGTTTGTAACTCTTAGATTACATTCTGATGATGCATTTTTGTATCTTATGATTTTTGCATCATACAGTGCCATAAATATGAAAATTCTGATATTCTCGTGCCTGTTGGTAGGGGCCAAAAGAAAGTTTGTTTGATCTTTTGCATCCTACACCTTTTTGTTGGCATATGGAAGAGGATTACCACAAATCCAAGTGTTTGGGTAGCAAATATCTGTTTGTCCCTTGCCACATCCATATTTTCAGTGAGTTTTGAAACATGGGCAGCTGTTGAACATGAAAAGGTTTGTTTGAACTAAGATGTCTCGTACCACATCAAGTTACTCATTTGTTTGTTGTTTTTGCCATATTTTTAGACTTGTAGGAATTATGTGTTGCATTGCAAAGATATCAAGCACAAAAGGCTTTACTAAAATTTTATACTCTTGTCTCTCCTCTTTTCAGCAAGGTCAGAGGAAGGAGTCATTGAGTGACACCTTTTGGTTAATGACTTTCTTTGAGTCTTCATCTTTAATTGGAAGTCAGATGCTAGCAAATTGGCTGGCAGGCAGCAATGTGGAAAAAGGCATGGCATCTGCTTCCACTTTATCCATCATCCTTGCAGTGATAGGCATCATTGCTGTTACTAGATGTTGGAATGGAACTATGCAGACGCTTTCACTAAAGGACTACAGGATGGCCTTCTATACATATGTTCTTAGTGGTGAGAGTTTAATGTTTGTAACATTTGCCTTCTTCTATTTCAAGGAACAAACTTTTTGCTATCAAACATTTCTGGAATGAGTATCTATTAAATTGTAAAGGACACTTGTACTTTTGATTTCAAAGAAAAAAAGAACACTTTGTATTTTGGGTGTCATGTTGAAATGAGGGCACCTTAAGTTATCAGATTTTTTTGAAGTTGGAAAGTAATTTGAAGCTAAAAACTCAGATAATGGGTGAACTATTTAGTGTCATACAGTTCACATCCTTTACTTGCACTCACTGGCTTAACCTAGTAGTAGGTGCATAACTCAACCTTGGAAGAGTTAAGTTTAAGTCCTTTTTTTCCTCTAAAAAACATTTACATCCTCTAGTTGATTAATGTTTGAAAATGAGGTATTTTTTGAATTTTTTCAAAATTTAGTTTTCCGTCTCTCCTCTCTATCTTGGTGTTGCTATCCCTGCATGTTAGTAGATAAAACGAGGAACAGCCTCTTTCAAGATAATATAATTTTTTCTCTCTTCACAGCCTTTCTTTTGTATCTGTTGTACCTATATCGTTTTGCTAAGCCATCTCTTCCATGAAGAAAAATAAGTACTTCATTGGCATTTTCTTTTTCTTGCTACATGAAAATACACCAATTTTTCTTCACAGTTGGAAAGGTTGTGTAAATTGAGATGATATTCTGACATATAAAAATTAAGCAGTTTGCAGATCTTGCAGTATTGCTTCAGAAATAGTGAAGTGACCTTGATCTTTCATATTTCCTTTTATTTTTTGCTTTAAATTTTTGAAAGCCTCACTTTCATTCAGAATAATATGCAGTATTGCATTGTTATTACCAAGTCTTTTAAGATTTATGGATTTAGAACTTGTGTTTGCATTTACTGTAGTTGCTACCTTTGTGTACTTTTGAAGAATGGCATCATTTCTAGCCTGGATATTTTGTTGGTCATACAGTCCTGTCAAATTTGCATCATTAAGCATAAAGACATCCTACCAATATCATTTATCTGTTCATGATTGACAGATAAAAGGATATGGCTGTTGGTAACAGGACAAAGTTGCCTTCAGTTCTCAATCGCAACATTCTGGATTCTTTGGGCTCCAACTCTGGTGGTATGTTCAGATCTATGACTTATATTTTATTTATGGCATCCTAGTTCTTCCTGCTGATCTAGTTGTTTGTTTTCTGAGGAGATGTTACCAGTAACTTCCTTCTACTGTCTGGCTTTTCAGGATATGGAAATTTTGAGTTAAAATTTATGCCCCTCTGACCTATTAGATATTCAAAACTACAAATATGCAAAAATGTTTTAAAAAACAACAAAACAAACAAAAGGCAGGTTGCTTTTGTAGCTTATCTCTGAAATATACTGTGTTTCATGTGGTTTCAGGCTGATGGGCGAGAAGTATATCTTGGATTGATCTATCCATTTTTGTTGGGAGCAAGGATGCTTGGAAGCACTGTTTTCCCTTGGCTTATTAGTGGACCATCAGCACTTCGTAGTGAAGATTGCCTTGTGTATGCATTCTCTGTCCTGGGGTTTGTCTTGTCTATAGTTGCTTATGATTATCAGGTATTGAAATTTTTCATCTGAAAATGCAAGAACTAATGGTCAGCTGTTCTGGTGCTAGATTTTAAGGATTTATATTGTTTGCGCTACAGGAAATAAGAGTCTTAGTGACCCTATTCTGCTTATTCCATGCTTGCCTAGGCCTGATTCTACCTTCACTTGCAAAATTGAGGACCATGTATGTTTATAAAGAGTTGCTCTGTTTTTAGTTGTTTACTGTTTCTGATATTCTTGTTTGGTGAAAAAAGGTTTGATTATTCTAATCTATTGTAATTGGTAGGTATGTTCCAAACGAATTGCGCGGAGGGATGATAAGCCTGTCGTTAGCTCCTTCTAATGCAGCAATGTTGTTTTTTCTGATGCAGGTCTGTCCCTCCACACCAGATTACCATGTTTAGGAGTTGTTGGTTTAATATATGATTGTTTAGTTTTTTTTTTTTTAAAAAAATATATGATTGTTTAGTATCTATGTAGATCTATGATAACTTCAGCACATGAATGCTGATAATTTCACCTAAAAGGCCAGGACACATGGAACACAAGACATCTCCATGTTAAGGGATGCATATGCTGCTTGGTACGGGTTGCTAGTGCCCGATGATAATTCTCTTTTTTTCCGGTGTAGGAAAATCTTAGATTTATATCGTGGCCTGTAAAGTTATTTGTTATTGAAATGCTATTTTTTGTGATGGTTATAGACAAAAGTGAAAATATCTGGGGTTGAAGGTGATAACTAGGTTAGGTTAAGATTGTTGAAAAGATCTTTAGGAAAAATGGACTCTTCCAATTTAATACCTGAATCGTCAAGTAACTATAATATACTCATCCTAAGCAAACAGTTATAAGTTTCAAGATATGTTAGCATTAGTACTAACGACCTGTTTGTTTCAATTCTTATTCTATTTTTTGTTTCTTTTCTTTTGAGGCAATGTAATATGTATTTATTTTTGCCGTAGACAAGAATTGAACTTCCAACCTCTAACCACCTGACTTAAAGGTTAGGTATTCTATTTCTTTTATTTTATTACTTGATATACATGATTGAAGTATAATCTTTATCTGACTGACAATTGAACTATTGCACTAATATGTTAATTCTATGATGTGGTAGATTTATATTTTTACTTATGTGTAAGAATCACAAATTTACTTGAGTCGGAAATAAAATTAGAATATTATTCTCTTAACTTACATTGCAGAGAGGCTACTATCATAGTGTTGAGAATTCCACGATAATGGCATTTGCCGCCCTTGGGTTATTCATATCAGCTGGATGCATGCATGTATTAAAGCGTTGGGGGAAACAGCCACATCAAGACTGGCATAAATTATGATTTCACGCCCACGTACTTGTTAAACTCAGTAATTTGATGCCTTCAGGGTACAGTCTAAATTCACTAGTTTCCATCAAAACTCAGTAAGTTGATGCCTTCAGAGTACAGTCTAAATTCACTAGTCTCTCATTTGATGGAAATTCAAGATGCAGGTGAACAAATTCCAAGCCTTCCAAGTTTTGATCGGAGCCTGGTAGGAGATACACATAATGGAAAAGGAAAAAATCAAACAAATATCCGTTCAGAACTACTAGAAGAGGTGACCAGTAGGTAACTCGGTGACAACAACAAAAATTATATTTCTGAGGCGACCTTAATCTGTCAATGGTTTAAGAGAGCGAAGAGGAAGAACCATGCAGTGTTCAGTTGTTTATTGGGATATAGATATTTTTACTGCTGTTCAGGTAGAGTTTTGAAGATCCAACTAGGCCAATTAGCAAAATGAGCCAATGGCAAATAGCTGCATTTTAAAGGTACTGCACTGACGCAGCAGTGGGAGGAAAGCAACGCTGGATCTAAGGTTCATTTTTATAAGGAAATTCATATTTATTTCTTCTTTCTAGATTTTTTAATTGGCATCTTTTTTTTTTTCTGTAGAATATAAAGATCGCCTTTATGTTATTAATTTAAATCCTGCCCAAACTCCTAATACCTGATTGAGAATGGGAAATTAAGAAGTTACTAAAGAAATCTCCTCCAATGAAGGGAAGATTATTAGTTGAGGCAATTAGTTAGACAGAGGGATGAACTAGAATGAACTTTGAGTTACATGCTGCAAGTTGGTTTAATTGCCTATGTGAGTTTCAATATGCTTCTTGGTTGGAACGGCCGTCATTTGCATCCTCTGGTAAGTGTTAGCCTGAAAACTATTTCTTTTGAATGATATACCTTAGTCTTATTGTTTTCTTTTTAAAAATAAAAAATAAAACGAAAGTATAATTTCGTGGAAACTTTTACCCTGTTTTGGAGGCATGATGCCTCCTCAAGTATTGGAAGAGAAATTCATCAATTAATAATATTGCTTTGTTTTTAAATGGTTAAGAATTTTTTCTCAACTTCTTTTAACAGTTTAATACCATCAAACTATAAGTTTGATTTTTTGTTATTTTATGTAACTCTCTTAGTTTCTAAGAGAATGTTTATAAAATTTTAAAACGTAAATTTAAAACAATTAGAATAAAAGATAGTAACTTACAGAACTAATTGTTAAATGGAAAACTATAGAACAATTAAGCTCGTGACTATAAGCTATTCAATGGAAAAACATACATCTGAATTATAAGGGGAAAAGCTGTAGTTTCTTTTTTATCTTTTATCAGATTTTCATTTTCTTGCTGCAGATTGATGGTATAGAGCTAACCAATTCACAGGGGTGGGTAATAGCCTAAACGAAGGATTTGTTTATTTGTCTGACTAAAGACATTAATTCAGCTTATTCTTAAAAAGGTTAAGGCATATTGAATCAAGGCCTAAGCGACTCGAACTTTTACTGAGAGATCCTAGAATCGAAATTCAAGCGTCTTGTGTATTTTATTATCTTTGTTTTTGTTTTAATTATTAGATAATGTTCTTGATTATTTCCAAATATATTTCAGCCAATATTACAGGATAAATAAAAGACTAGCTAATTTCAACCGAAAAACAAGAGGTGTGGGGGTAGATAAAGCCTCATGCTAAGATTTAAAAGCAAACGCATCTGGATTCACACTAATCATCCGCCTGTTCTTGATCTCTGATCCACTTTGTAGCAACCCATTTATCTCCTTTGAGCACAGGACAACTTCCGTGAAGCGATGTCTGCAAAAGCAACCTCAACATCACTATTATGCTTCGTCAGGTAAAACATAACAAAAATATAAACACGTACTTACAGGATCAATCGTGCCATTTGGGAATAATGAGTAGAACAAAAGGCCGTCACCTTGACGTGGCTTGACTTTCAAACCCATACACTCCCGGTAATCATAGGTTCCATTCAGGTTCATGCTACTCTGCTGATAAAAAGATGAATGGCTTATCAGTATGTTGAGATTTTATAAAACTAGACAAGAGACTTAAAATACAAGACTTAGATCTTACCTCAAACGGAAACATAGTTTCTCCACCTTCTTCAACATCAGATAAGTACAACAAGAAAGAAGCAAGCTGAAGCAAAAATTAATAGATTGGATCAGTTGTTCCTCAATGAAGAACAAAGGTAAAGATCGACATTTGCAGTTCTTGACAATATTTGATTATGAATGGATTGTTTTACCGTAAGTTTGAAGATAGAAAACTACTTACAAGTACTAATCTCATAATTGCTACATCATAATTTTAAGGAAAAAAAAAAAAACTGACTGTATAATTTTAATAATTAAAATTAATTTTCAAAATTTTGAGCTTTTAGCAACATTCTCCAACATCCGACAAATCATAATCAAGTATGGTAATCACCAACATGCAACTTTTATAATCAAGCTCTTAGCTCATAATTAACTAAAAACATGCAATTGTGGACTGTTGCGGACCCACATCATTTAGCATCCTAAGAGGACCAGCTGGCATGTTTAACATCTATGAGACAAAGACTGTGTTTGCACGTGTGTCATATAAAACGTCTTTTTCCATGACCAAGAGAACAATGACAAAAGAAAATTCGTCTAGCTTAATATTTACCCGCTGACTCTTTTGTGGGCCATACTCAGCAGGATCAAATGCATCATAATGAGAGTTATACTTCTGGCCAAGCTCATAGTGCAAGACATTGAATGCCTGAAACATGGTGATAGACTCAGATAATTTTTAAAATTGCCCTGAAATGAAACGTTAACTAATGCAACGAATAAACAAACAAATAGTCAAATGATCTGACTGGGTGAAAAATAAACAATTGAGGATTTTTAGAAGGTTCAGAATGATGATACCTGCAAATTCATGATAATTTTCACGAGATAAGAATATATGACACCCCAACTGTCCGCAAGAAAAAATCTCAAAATTGCAGATATGTACTTTCAACAACTACGATAAACATTTCAGGATGTAAGAGTGCAGGAATCATGCATGGTTCAGTGTATCAACATTAATATCTCCATAACTACCTCTGCCCATTAATCTAGTAGAACCTCAGACATTTTAGGTCTGGTGCTTTAAAAAGATTTAAAAGATTTTTGTTGAAGTTGTATAACACCTCGCCGGTCTGGTGCTTTAGAAAGATTTAACAGATTTTTATTGAAGTTGTATAATACCTTAGACAAACGCAAAGCAGCCAATATTATAATGCAGGAATGGATTGTTGTGTTTATAGAGTTTCACGTAAACGACTCGTAGCTGTGAATTGCAGTCCATACGATATATTAACAGGCAGAGGTTATGACGGCTGTGCATGAATACAGTGCTAGTGAACTAAAAATATTACTTAAATGAAGGATGAGTTAAAGTACATATCTGTTTCTACTGAATTTTCTTTACCAGTTCCCTTGCTGCAATTTAAAAATTTTAATTACTGAAAATAATCCAATTTAGTGTCTCCTTCACACTCATGTCATAACGTATGGGATTCAGCACCACAATCACAAATCAAAATTCAAAACTTTACAAGCTTCAAGATCACAACCATGTATCACCACATTGTACGTGCTCTGAAATTGTTTGTAACACTTCAATTCTTAGCACCACTAACCCAAAGATATTTAAATCTAAGTCACTGACACTCAAAAGCTTGCTCAAATTTTTATTGTGTAAAACTTAACAATCACATTTATCTTCAGATATGATATCAGAGTATCCCACACATCATGCTACATACTGCACTAAGAAGTGAATTGGAAAACAGAAAAGGATCTCGAAAGCGGATCAGATGCGCCAGTTTCCATTACACATAATTAAAAGGATAGTTGCCAGGTACATAGTATTTCTATGTTGTGATCCTTAATTTGCTTTGCTGTTCATAATCTAATCTTTTATCTCTAGTGAACTGTGCAATCAACCTTCACCTAAATGTTATGAACCAGGTCCATGCCCAAATTTCAAAATTTCTGGAGATTTAAGTCATTATTCTTACAGGCTATAGACGAAGATATAGCAGGTTCAAAGTTGCAATTGCATGGCAAACATCACTGACTTGTTTCATGGGCATACGATTATAACCAAGTCATTTTCTACATTGAGCTTACCTAACCCATCAAGCCGGTGTTTATTTCATTAGATTATTGTATCTACCATGTAAACCATTACATCAGTGATTGGATATTGTTCAACTATTAGATATTGATGGCATTCTATGATTCTACAAACATCAAGAATACAAGCTAAATGAAAAGGTGAAGGTATAAATAATGCAGAACTAATAAAAAAAAGATAAACATTTTGCAAAATTTTACAATAACAAAAATAGGAAGATTAATTTCCTTTTCTAGCGGAAATAAAAGTTTTGAGAAAGTTTTACAATTAAAAAATAAAAAGATTTAATTTTCGTTTCCCAAGTAGTTTTATATTTCTTTCTATTTAGCTTGTTTTCCTATTTACTAAATTCTTTAAATTTTATACTTTTAATTATATTTTGTGCCTATAAATGAGACATATAAGGTTAGTTATTAAATAAATTATTCATAATTATTATTCAAATGCTGAGATATTACTTTGATTATTGAGATTCGAGATCTCTAATTTTAGTTCTTAATAAAATTTCTTTAAGTTTTCTTTGAGCTTGTTTTGTCCAACATTAATAAAGCTGAGGCCAACAAACATATTGCTGGTTACAGGCTATAGTCAAGAAAAGGCCAGTAAAGATATTGCAGGTACAAAGAAAAAATTGCATGGCAGACACCACTGACTTGATTCATGGCACATTACAGCCTTCCACATTAATTGCTCATATCTAACTCATTAAGTATCTTTGTGTAGTTAGATGAATGTATTCACATGCAAACAATAACATCAATATCATTCAACTACTAGTTAACAATGGCATTTTTGTGATTCTGCATACATCAAGATCCCAGGCTAATCGAAAAGGCAAAAGTTATAAGCGCAAGAATTAGTATCATTTCAAAAATCAACCTAGTTTAAAAACAGAGCTTGTCAAAATAATTTACTTACTTCTCCATGAACTCTTGGAATCATTGTGGCCCTTGCGATTTTTTCTTCAACGATATCTAAAATGCCAGATTTGTCTTGATAGGCACTGATAAACATGCCAGAACTGTTTGACATGGAAATGTAAGCTAGCAAATTCAGAATCTGAGGAGCTGCTGCATTTTAAGTTGGACTACTGATTTATAAACTAGATTGTTAGAATAAGTTTTTCTCATTTCCCTTTCCAAAGCTCCAAAGTGTTAGCAAGATAAATAAAGGAAGAAGTGATAGAAGATGTGTTAAGGTCAAATTTCACTAATTGTAGCAAAGCATCATATGCTTGAAGAATAGCTGTATATGATACATCAATATAAGACTTAGGATTTCTGGTAAGCACATGGACATTAGACTGTACCTTGTCCTAATTCCTTTGGTGTTCTCTTCTGTTTCTCCCTCCCTTAAAGCCAAGGTGGAAGGTGCAAGCTTCTTCTTTGCCATATTAATTATACTTTGACATTGCTCTGTCGTTGCAAAATTAGGAAAATACAAAGCACGTGGTCTCCAGCTTAAAACCTGCATTACATAGATCCGATGCATGAAATAGAAGGAGAAATCAAAAGAATTCCATAAAAACACTAAAAAAAAAATGTCCCAATGCTTTAAGTTATGCCTGGATAATGAGAATTTAATATAAATTAACAACAATGATAACAGTTGAGAACCTTTTAATGACATCCAAGTTCAGACCTCCCGTCCTCAGAATGTCAATAACTGAAAATTTTATTTGTACCTCTCTCTTTCTACCTTACAGACACGGGAACTCGTACACACTCAAGCTCAAGAATGCGGACACAAAAGTTTTAGGCAATTAATTTTCTCAAGAAAGAAAAAAGAAAGAGAAAGCACTTGGCCTTTTTATTTATTTATTTAACTTCACATGTCCTATACTTGCGAAAGCAGGTTAGAAGCACAGCCTTCAGCTAATAGAAAATCCTTGCTTTTGCTTTTGACCTAAAGCCACCGGAATCACATGAAAGATGCGATATACATTTTAAGGGAACTAAATTATCAAGGTATCCAAAGAGTTCAACCACGATCATAATTGAAAACCAAAGACTCCATAGCATAATAACATTAAATAAAACATCCCTTGATTAATTAATTATATCTGGCAGTAAAATATGAGTGACTTTTCCATTAATGATTTTATTGAGAAATCTTAATTTCATTAACAAAAAAGGCGAGTAATCTTTAGCGACCTCATCAAGCAATGCAGAAAGATTTAAAGACATTCTATATTTCAGATCCTCCAAAAAAATAACAAATAAAAACTAACTCTGGTAATAATCAACTTAAAGACTAAGCAGAGAGCTTAAGATTTAAAAAGTAAAGGAAAAACCTGAAAAGGAATCGTAGTAACAGAATCATCTCCCGTCTCTCCATGTGGCATTAAATCAAATTCTTCCGACACCACCGATTTCAGCACTCTTGATCCCGGCCAAACATCAGAAATGTCCTGCCAGTACATGATGAACTCAAGTTCAATCAATGAATAACCAAAAGAAGATATCCGTCCACCAAAAAAAAGAGTAAACACGAGATCGAAATTCGTTACAAAATTTTGCAAATGAAAAAAAAAAAAAAATCAAAACAAATATAACCTGAGATATGATATTGGAGCCAAACAGAACACCAGCTAAGAAGAAGAAGAGACATGCAAGGAAGAAAGTAGGTAAACTCAGCTTGATCTTCAAGCTCCAACTTGCTTTGCCTCTTGCTTTCATTTCAGTCGTTGATCGTCGTCAAGCTTTCAATCAAAACAAAATTACGCTCTGTGCTTTGTTTTTCTCTCTCTTCATTTACTTCCTTCCTTCTTAATGCACTGTTGGAAATTGAAATAGTGTGTCCTGACTTCAAATCAGTGTTTGGAAGTCAATCAATCTCGACTACATACGATTTGGGCATTTCAATCATCAAAGCAATCGTACGCAGCGGGAATTTTTCTAAACGTGCAGAGAGTTTAAGACGACTTTCTTCTTTTCTTTTTCTTTTTCTCCCTCAGAAAATTAGTGTGTTTTAGGAATTGGATAAAATATTATTGCAAAAAAGGAAATAGAGGTTGTTGCATTCGGTAGTTACTGACTGGAGCGGGATAATTTAAAGGTTAGCTCGATGTTCCGTACGCGTATTACTGGTAATAAAAAGGTTTACGAGGGGGTAAAAGTGGTAATAAAATATTTTAACAACACTTTCATCTCAAAAAGAAAGAAGGGTTTATTTCTCGGTTTTAGAAAGAAACGTGTACTCGTAACCCACAGAATTAACTGGATTCACGTTCTACTTTCATTCCCTCCTTATTTTATTTCTTTTTTAACCTTTTTACTCTTTGTACAAATAATTGCCATCAGAAAATTAAATTATTTAATAAAAATTGCCATAAAAATTTATTTCACGCTAATTAGATGTTGGTTTCAGCCATGCTCCTCCTATATCAAATTCAAATATTTTAGTATTTTAGTTTCATCTTGAATTTGGTTCTAATTTTAATTTTATAGAATATAAATGTGAATATAATACAAATAACAAATAATTTAAATAAAAAGTAAAATTTTAATTTTATATTTAATTCAATTTATATTTTTGCATTTTACTTTTATCTGACATGTGAAATTATAAATCTAGAGTTGTCTTACATTAAAACAGAGTCAAATAAAAACCTTTAGCATAAAAATTAATATTTACTTTACTCTTCAGAGATTATTGATGGAACATGACGTGAAGGTAAAAAGCCTACATCCTGATGGGAAATCAAAGTCAGAATACTAAGATTATATCAGCAAGAGTAATTAAAGTTGCAATTTTATTTTTCGAGGTGAAAAATCAAATGTGAAAGCTAGAATCTGATGAAGGTTAAAAGAGTACAGTAAAAAAAAAAAAAAAAAAAGATTGAAAAAGAGAGACAAAGGCGTGTTTTCAATTGCTGGATCTTTGCTGGACTGCACTATGCTTGCAATATAAACGACATTTTACCATTTCCTTCTGCTTCCTGCAGTCAACATTAACGGGAATTACATTTAGCTTTTCTGTCCTCGCCTGATTTACTACCAGGCCCCTTATTTTAAGACCGATCATACAATGATTGTAAATCGACGTGATAAGATTTTTTGTCTCTTTTGAGATAAAACAATAAAACAAAAATGAAATAGTGACTTACTTCACAGGGGTTATTAGAGAAGTTTTCTACATTAATTATAGGTATCTTTTTCTTCTGTTTTTTGGACTTTTTTTTTTTTTTTTTTTTTCTGAGTAGTCTGCTTTTGGAATTTGGTGTTTTATTTTGGGATGTATTACACGAGTTGGGTATTGGCAGTCTGTATAAATGAAAGGCATATCATTTCATAATATTTGATTAAGCATTAGAAACAAGACAAAAAAAAAAAAAAGCATAAAATCATGCATAAACTGGTTAACAATGGAACTCCCACTCATTGCCCAGCACAAATCAAATCATACACAAATGAAAATCATGTTAAGACTTAAAAACTTTTTTCTAAGCGGCGTCACTTCCGTCACAGAAAGTTCAATTCAACGTCAATGGATGCTGTTGGGATCTCCAAATCCCGCATTTCCTTCGCAATCATTAGTTGAGAAGGTAAGAAGAGATTAATGGAATTCTTTTTTTTTTTTTTTATAAGGTAAAAAAGTAAATTGCATAGGAACAGAAAAAAACGAAAACGAACAAGAGAGAAGGTTAGGGATTTTGGGAAGGCTGTGTCAGGAGACTCGCTGACTCACAAAGGAAAGGACAAGAACTCACCAAAGAACCGCGTTCTCTTTGCCCGTGGAACCATGAGACAGACTCGCAGACTCGCGGGCAACACAACAGTCTGCCACGTTGAGTAACGTAGGTCTACAAACCCCTTCCTTTCAACCACACAAAAAAAGGAGCATATCATAAAATAATAATAATAACAATATCTAATAATACGCTGCGGGCAAGAAGACTGAGGGTCAGAGTCAACTAAATCTTACGTTGGATGTGAAATGGCGATGTCTGATTCGCTACTGGTACTGTCGACGTGGCCAGCTGCATCTTCAATCAACCAAACAAAATCAACTTTGTATGCTTTTGTTTTCCTCCACGTAAAAAATCGATGGACCCCGGACCCCATATAAACTGCTACTATCTCTTTAAGAGGCAAAGCTCCGGATCCTTCTTCCTTCTCTTTCGCCACAAATGTTCATCAGAATTTCACAACAGAAATCTGCTGCAACAAAAAATTTAAAGGATTTACTTCTGCCAATAAATGCTCAGACTAAATGCTCACTGCTCTCTGATTCCAAGTGCAAACCATGTTAAGCTTGGGAGCTGGCATGGCTCGCCTATCAATAAGTGTCAAGCAGCTCGAAAGTTGTCTCTGAGAATTTATGTCAACGCTCTGAAAGATGATAGAAATGGGGGCACCAGCAGCTTCTCAGGCCAGAGTTGGGATCCGGGGTTAGAAATCGAGGTTCCTTTTGAACAAAGACCGGTATGTTTATGTACTACTACTGAGTACTGGTTAGCACTATCAGCACTTTGACCCAGAAAATCTCCAGCCTCCGATTTCCTGATTCTTGATATTAGAGAGGTGAAAAGAACATGAAGAACTGTAAAATTTAGAACCAATAGAGCAAAATATATATATATATATATATATACACACACACACACACATATATATATAAGGAATCAATATATTCAGATGGATTTAGGACATTGATTGTCTAGCAGGAAAAATATGCCAGAGTCGTCTACACTTGGTTACTTATTTGGTTCATTAATTCAAATATAACTGAGTAAACGATATCACTTGTAGGAAATATGACACAATAGTTAACACTTAAGAGTTCTTTTGTTCAATATTAGGTGAACGAGTACTCGTCCCTGAAAGATGGAGTTTTATATTCATGGGGAGAACTGGGTCCAGGGCCTTTCTTCCTTCGTCTCGGTGGTCTATGGTTGGCAACTTTCACAGTTCTTGGAATTCCAATTGCAGCAGCCAGCTTTAATCCCTCAAGGGTGAGTGAGTTGCAAATGCAAACCTGATTCATAGATTGGCAACATATAATGTTAGAAAATCATCAGAACCTTTTAAAAAAAAAATGAAAAGGTGGAAATTGTATTTAAGAGAGCATCAAGGAAGGTACAATTTGTACACAGTCCATGCTAGACCCTTTACATATCAATCAAAATATTGATTAAATCCCCCAATCCATGCTAGAATATGGTGAGTGACCCTTCAACTTATATCATCATTGATCTCGCGAGAATGAGCTCAATCCCCACTCGCTCAGCCAATTCATTGGCCCTGTCCTAAATTGTGGTGGTTGGTTTTTTATTAGATATTCATTACATATTTGCTTCAATACAAAACATTTGGGTGGAAAAAACTATCATGGTTCTAACCAGTGGCAGTATAGACTTCTACTATTGGTTTATAAGCAACAAATTATGGTATATTAACCAGTGACAATTGCAATTTATGTATCCAAACTTTATATTCCTTCTCAAATCTTGCAGGAACCTCTAAGATTTATGCTAGCTGCAGGAACAGGAACGCTTTTCCTCGTGTCATTAATTGTTTTAAGAATATATCTGGTATGACCAATCTTCTTCCCCTTACCTCATCCAATATTTTATATTTGTGCCTGACTACTGGATTAGAAATTATTTCTGGAAAGGTCATTGCAAAAAAAAAAAGAAATAATTTATGGAATATTGTTCCATAAATTAAAATAGCTCCTACCAATAATTTACGTACTGCAATGAATACAAATCTTCTACCAATACAACTAAAATAGCTCCTAGAACTACATAGCAATGAACTTTGGACTTTGAGTTTGTTACTTGCAATAAAAGTGACCTACCAGAACAAAAAGACAAGGGAATTACCACGAAGGATAAAAGAACTATATATATCCTAAAGTTCTCATTTTGAACAGATCTAATTGTATTATGATTTTTTTTTTTGAAGAGCTCTTGGTTTATGAAATTGCTTTCTTCCAGTGACAACAATTCCCTGCATGTATAACATTTCATCTAATAATTTTTATAGTCACTTTGAAATGGTTCAACCAACTACAAAAAGGATATTACAGGGATGGAGTTATGTTGGTGATAGACTTCTGTCAGCTGTAATACCATATGAAGAGAGCGGATGGTATGACGGACAGATGTGGGTCAAACCACCAGAGGTGAGTACATTTTGAATCTCAGGTTCTTTATGGGGAGGAATCCTGAGGGCATAGTTAAGGATAAACACTAGTAATTCTAGTAATTTTTTGCATTTGTTTGTTTCATGAGAATGACTGGACTATAGGGGCAAGGTTTAAATACAACCTCACTTGACTCACCTTTGTGATGCGTGAAAGCCCTAATACAAACCTAACCAGTTTATGGGTCAGGTGTATCAGAGAGGGACCTCCAGAAGAAAAGTAGAAGAGAAACTGCAGCCTCCAGGAGTCCCACCAGCAACCTCCTGCATAAATACTTATCTTAGTAATAAATAAAGAATCCAACAATATAAATTAAAGTATTCTCCAAGAGACTGTCTGAGTTCTCTCTAACAAGCCCAATCACAGGCCACCATAGGCACAAATCTGATAAGCAAGCTTCACACTTGCTCAAAGACTTTTGGGCCAATCGATCTGTGACCCAATCCATAACATTCATATGAATATAGGTGTGAGTACAGTGTGTAAGTTTTTTTTCTAAATTAAGAGCCCCAAGTCTTTTTTCATTTGTCCTGTAGAAAATAAATATGACTATCTAGTGTAGACACCTTGTAATTAAGGTGCAACAGAAAAACATAAAATTAAAATCACCACCTTGATGTTTTAGGGAAACACAAAAATCAAATTGAGACCTCGACAATGACAGCAAAACTTAGCAATGACAAAGATAAGGAATTGTTTTCTTCAGATGTGAGAATAAAGCATATTCAAATATTATTTACTGACACTAGAAATACAAATTTCAGCAACCAAACAACTGTGCTAGGCAAAAAGGTGTATGAATGCCAAGAACATAAGGGATAAAAAACCATGTGAAAGGAAATATCACATATCAAAATGAGAAGCATTACTTGATATCGATTATGAGGAGAATAACTTGGCACTTTACCACAACTATATCTTTCAAAACTGCCGCTCAACAACTCTAGAAGAGAGAATAACACAGAATTAAGTCAAATATCAACTCTTGAACCAAGGTCCATACTTGATAGGAGAACAGTTCTTTTTTTTCTTCCCTTTTTGAGTGTAACCTTAGTGTAAAAGGAAAAAGATCATGTAGACACATTAAAATATCTACATATTCTGTCATATTATACCACAAATAACTATTCATTTGGTCATCTCCTTGACAGGTCCTGGCTCGAGACAGATTGTTGGGGGCTTACAAGGTGCTAACAACATAAGTTATTAGTACATCTCAACGTTGCACATGGAAACTTGTGTTGATGTTTTCAGTCATTTACTGATGCACATTTCATTTTTTGCAAAGGGTTTCTAATGAAAGCCCTTGGTCGTAGAGCACAAAGCACAATCTGCACGAGTTTTGCTATGCATTTGCACACGCAACACACATCCACAGAGAGAGAGAGAGAGAGAGAGAGAGAAACATATAATCCATACCAATCGACATGATCACAAATGCTTTATGGAGCTGATATTTAGGCTTTGATTGAATACTAAGTTCACAAGGAATTTTATACCTAGGTCAAACCAGTCATCAAGATGCTGAAGCAGACACTGGTCGGAACAGGCGCACTACTTGTTACAGCAGTATTCCTCTTTGTCTTTGCCACACCAGTACAGGATTTCTTCCAAACCACCTTTTCTACAAAAGAGAACCTACCAGAAGTTACATCTCCGAAAAGCAACTCAAAGTTCAATATAAGGTATAGAATATAGCTAACCATATAGAGATTCAAAGAGTCCCATTTTCCACCAAGTATCCATACTTATACATTCCCATATTTCTTCCATTTAATTATTGTAGGAAAGAGGAGTTGCTTCAGTTGCCTGTGGAGGTGATGGCTGATGATGATCTGGCAGCTGCAGCTGCAGAGGCTGCTGATGGGAGGCCAGTCTACTGTAGAGATAGATATTATCGTGCATTAGCAGGCGGGCAGTACTGCAAATGGGAAGATCTATTAAAATAATGAACAGATGACGGAAACATTAAAAGACAGGACACCAATTGTTTTCAATTTCACAATAGTCAGCTTACTGAGTTCGTTTGTATTAGCAGAAACAGAATGTCAGAAACATTTAAAGGTTCATGCCATTATCTTAATGAAACAAACAATAGATGATCTAAAAAGCAGAAACTAGAACAATATGAAAACATTGGAAAGAAACTTAAGAAAATAAATACAGCATTTCAGATTAGCAGGAGGCAACATGACCATCTTGCAACTTGCCTTCATACAAAGCCCTTCTGAGAAAATGAAAATCCACCTTGCCAGAAACAAGGAGGCCAATCACTTCAACAAGACACTATATAAAGATGTTGAGCCGGCACTTGAATACCTACACTGAATCATCAAAATCCAACAACAACGAAAGCAGAAGCACAAAATTTTGCTTTTGGACAATAGTGGAGTAACCTGGTTGAAGAGGTACCTTCTTAATACCATCCAAAGAGCCCGCTCCAAAAAATCCTTATTGTTATGGAAGCTCCATGATATATCAAAAGCTATGAACATCAATCTGAAGATACAAGATAAAGAATGAAAGATTCTTTGACTCAGCATACATGTATTAGCATGTTTAGATTCTTTGACTCCACGAACATGTATTAGTATGTTTAAATTTAACACTAGCTCAAATACCATAACTTCTCCACTTAACTCAACCAAAAGTATCACTGAAAAAACACCAGCTACAACTGTAAATAGTAAAATGCCATGCATAAGTTCAGTCCACACAAACCGTACCCACATTAGTTATCCATAGATCTGGCGCATTATTCAATCAGGTTTACAGGTACCACTACCCTCATGATAATTTCTTTTAATCCAAAACAAAGAATATTAACACTGCAACCTAGCTTGAATATGGCTGTAGCTTGCAGGGAGCTCTAGAGGAGATTTGAACAGATTGAGGTTAAGTGCATATCATGGACCATGCTTACCTGCGCTCAGCTGTAGGATCTAAGGTGTTCTGGTGAACTTCTATAATCAACCAGGAGGCAACCGGTGCTTTTGAGATGGATATGGCTGGTATTGATTAACCCGGGCTGCTGCAAGTTCTGGACCAGTTGGCATGGTCCCCTTGTTTGATTTGTTCTTTGTGTTGTCTTCCGTTACATCCACAAAGAAAAACTTAGCTTGGATACGATTTCAACCCATCAAATGGTGAACAGTATAAACAACTAATTCATCAACCATAGGATCAAAATATTTTTCTTGATGGCGAGCCAATAAGTAGTGTGCCATAAAGCCCTCAAAGGAGGTTCCTTCTAAACAAGTTTCTTGCACCAACTAAGAACCCTAAGTAGTTTTCCTTCAATAAAATCTCTAGTTGCTTGTTTCCTTCTTTTTGCATATTCAAGATCTAGAGTTCGGTAAGCAAGAGCAAGCAAGTAAATTGCTGGATGTAGTCTCCTGAAGATAATAAAATTTAACACATAAGATTACTTCAGAAACAAATACTTAAGTATCTCAATGTAAACCTAAAAACCTCAGATGTTTTCTTATATATTTTAAGTTAGAATCAGGAGCAAGCAGTAACGAACATCTTCAGTCACTGCAGAGCTCATAGTCTATGAAAATAAAACTAAACTCATAACAAAATTGTTAAGGCATGAGATATAACATGTTATTAAAGAACACCAGCAGGAAAGTAGATAAACGTAACTCCATGTAAATCAAATGGCTAACAGGACAAGAAACGTAGTAAACAACTAACATTGAACTGAGATACTGAAAGCTGGATGTACGAATAGAATAGTTTGGATCAAAGAAACTATTCCAAATTTTCTCATTCTATGACATCAAAATATTATAGTGCCTAGCATGGTAGAAGTTGATGCCAAATGAATAGTCTAGGTCATAGAGTATTTGATAGCTCTCGTTATATCTCATTTAGTGCTCTTATTTCAAAAAAAAATATATCTCATTTAGTGCTCAAATGTGCTATTTCATAAATATCAGCAGATGCTTAGAAGACTCAAAACTCTAAATCAGCCTGCATGAGATTGACTTACTCATCAAATTTTGCACCTGCATCAACCCCATCCCAATACCTTTGGGATGGGACTGTCTGGCCTTTTTTATCTCTGCCAAATGTCTCAATATACCAACCACCTATATCATGTAAGCTACAGCGTGGCTCAAACAACCAAAACCTGTTACAATAATTCATGTAAGAATTTATACCTAAAACCCTGAGGGGTGTAAAGAATAAATAAATTTATTCTATTGCTACTAGCATGTAATTTCCAACAATAATGATATTAACTGTGTAGTGGTATTGAATTCCATTTCAAAATGCATAAAATCACAAACCGAGAGTTCTATTGACAAGAAATGATGCATCTAACTTCTCATGTGAATTTAAAATGTCAGATAAAAAATCCAATCAAATGATAGAAATGACAGACAGTCCATCAAAATTCAGATCCACCATGCTAGGTCAACAACTAAGTTCCTGGCATCTAGAGATTAGATTGTTGGCCTGACATAATTTCTGGAAGATAGTTACTTTGAACAGGGAAATAAAATCAACCTAATGATAATAACAATGACACTGCAATGACCCAGATAATAATAACAGCACTAGCCGAAAGTCCCACACTCAAGTGCCCAAAAAACATAAATAAATGTTTAATCGAATCATGCTTGCAGGTGGCCCTGGCTGTTTAACTAAGATGTGATCACTGTATTTTCCATGATTTAGAGGGTTGGCATTAGCATTGACAGGCAAAGCATCTCATAGTTATGCATGCAAAAGAACCACCATGAGATAATGAGAGTAGAACTATTTCATTACGTCTAAAACTAAACTCCTAGAAAATACATTTAAAAAAGGTGTGCAAAAACAAACTGACAGGGAGAACATGTTACCCTAGTTAATTAAATTTGGGTTAGACTAATTGGAGAGAATTGTAAAAACATAATGGTTCCTCAGAAAAAATGCTAAGAAGTTGATAGTTTCTTAAAAAAAAATCAGGAAAAGAGTAAATTTGCATCCCTATGTAAGAACATAAAAGGCAAGCTTACTTGCTTGGTGGTAGCCGGGCTCTACTGCATCTACACTCACATACACAAACATCATCTACCATTCGATACCAGTGCATATGCTTCACCTAAAAGTTTGAAAGTGGAGATGAGTAAAGCAATCCACTTTTTACTTAAAGCTTAAAACCCATCAACCTCGCAACATATATGGCACTAATGCAAAGATGAATCTGTAATCACATAAGGGATAGCTGACAACAACTGATAACGTTCGAGTCATATAATGGATGAGAATAAAAGGTAACCCACCTTCAAATCATGTTTCAAATAAAGCAGTGCACACTTAAGCATGAAAATAGAAGAATTATGCTGGCACACAAGCAATATGGTAATTCAATTGATTCTAGAAATCTGCCAGAGTGCAAGCGCAATTATCAAAAGGAGAAAATGCACGAATTGACAAGATCACAAAAGGTGAATAACTGTCAAAAGAATTGATTATATGCACGCAATACAATCTTGAAACCTTTTACTCAGTCAAAAACCATAGAAATAAAAATAACAAGTTGCCTTTAGTATCAAGTCATAGCAAAGACAATTTGCATATAAACTTTCAAATGCTCACAATTGATTCTTGACTATTCAAATTACGCAACAATATCATTAAGACCCTAGAATCAATAATGGTATATATGCAGCAAGTACCTTGACTCAACAATGTATAAATACTTAGGCGGTTATGATTATGACCGTAAGAACTTGTCTCCATCACAAGCAATAAATACAATGTCCAGCATATAAGAAGCCACTAGCAACAACATTTGGAACTGAAACTAAACTTTGTCATCATGTTTCAATCTTATTAAACAGTTCAACACCAAGGATGCAAATGCACCATCATGAAAGAAGAGGGTGCATCTCAACAAGTCTGAAAGCAAGAAAAGATCAGAAGCAAAAGAGATCAGTTTTATATACCATCAATGTTCTGTGTTTCATTATCACATGGGTTTTTGTACCACTGATGTCATAGATGAAACATGATCCCTCCTCAGGACTGGTCCCTAATCCACTTATAGTTCCGAGTGGAATCTTTGATCTAAGTCCATCTGATGAAGGATAATTAGAATACAACCTACCAAAATGAACAGAATTTTCACCAGAATTAAGAAAAACATGTATATGGTCTAGATCATCCTCATTTGTTATCCCATGATGACAGCTTTTAGGGGGAACTCTAGTGGCCATAGCAACCACCTTTCCACACAAATGCAATTCCAAATCTTTATATGCATCTGAAACATGACTTTTAATACTCAAACCTTGCATCCGAGAAACTTGAAAATCACTTGCTCCATCAGATTCAGGGCAAGAACTTGCTTTTTCAATTGACTGACACAAGTCTGAACTCAAAGAGGAAAAAAAAGTCAATTTATCATTCCGGGAAGAAGATAATTCAGGAACATTGTCCACCAGGCAGACCATCCCAAAAAGATCTTGTCCCGAAACCAAGTGCAGTACCTCTGTTGTTTCACACACAGACCTCTCCTCAGCTTCAAAACGATCAGGAAGAAGGTCCATTGATTCTATTACTGGACCGTAATATGCTGCATGTATGGCTGAATAAAAATCTGCCTCAAGTACATCAAGATATCTTGTTCCAACCACTACCTTCTTCTCTGCCAATATGTCATTTATAGCAACTCTGTACCACTTTAACCATTCAACAACTTCCATATGCTTATCTATAGTTGCATGGGATTTGTATATGTGCAAAGTCGAACAATGGCCAGAAGGTTTCTGCATAATCTTTCTCTGAGATAACAGATAGATATCATAGCATGTCCTCTTCTCAGAATCTGAAAGAATCTGCAAATCGTTATTGATCATGCTTCAAAGTCAGGAAACCTTACGAGATAGAATTATGTTACCCTGGCAATGGATTACATACAAAAGAGTACTTCCAATAGATGCAACCACATAATGAACATGAAATCTATTTCTAAATGGATTTGGATGCTTGGAATAAATTGTGGTATCTTAAAATGTTTTATAGAATTTAATCGAGTACTACATTCAGGAAAACATAAACTAGATATTGTACACCAGTCTTTCTTTTTTTCCACACTCTAGTTCATTTCTAAATAATATCAGATCTAATAGAAAGTGAAATATATACACTCAAGCCTACAAGGAATTCGTTTCAAAATGAATTTCATTTTTTATTAATGCTAAATAGAAAAATATAAATTTGTAGAAGAATTACCGTTTACTATGGAATTCATCTGTTGCAAACATAGTGTGAGAGAAAACAAGAAAGATAAGAAGTAAAAGATCTATTAAAATGGTACCATAAACATTTCAAAGCGAGCACCGTCCTGTAATTTTATATACAGCCATCAGAGGGATGTTCATACATGAAATGCAGCTTAGTCCATCGCTCGTGTAAAGATACCGTTGGGTAATCCTTGCAATTTTAGGGTAAGAAAGCAAAGCCCTAAATGTAATATTCAGGTCCTATCAGATGCTCCTAAGGTTAGCCAAGCACATGATGATAAAGGCCATAATCAACCTTAGGATCGAAATTCGATGAAAAAAAGAAAATGTAGAATACCAAAAAGAAATTGTAAATTATATCAAAGCTTATCAATAATTCAGGTATGCATGAAAACAATTGACCATAACAGACAATTAGATAAGAATGTATAGAACTTAGGAATAACGCTACACCTCATACGCAGCAAGGATTTGAATGAAACGTTTCGAGGAAGACGAATCATCCTTTGACTCCGCAAGGTCCGGGTGAGTTTCTTTGGCGAGCTTGTGAAACGATGCTTTAATTTCAGCGAATGAACTTGTCTCGGAAACTCCCAAGATCTCGTATGCGTTCTCTGCCGGGAACTCAGTCGCGTTCGATCCACTACGGCTACTGAACCACTGGGTTCCATAATTTGGATTCAATAGATGGCACCATGAGTAGCTATCATTCGATCGAAGTACAGGTAACGTAATTGAACAGTGCCGTCTTAGTCCGACGAGAAATGCCATTTTATCTACCTAATTAAATTTCCTCCAAACCGGAGACGACGCCGCGGGCCGAAGAAAACAGCGGGACCGAAAAGCTGACAGAACGACGGAATGGAACGGAGTTAAAATGTCCGAATAGTGCATGGAATCTGATACGTGTCAGCTTCCAGAGGGAAAGGGAAGACTCAATTTTCTGGCGGAAATATTACACCTGGCGCTGAAAACATCGACTGTGAATTCCTGTCAGTGATGAGGCAAGATAGACAAGCGTCAGGTCGAGATAAAAATCTCCGTTCCCGCTCGTTTCGAAACGTTTCCTTTTCGTTTATAATAATAATGAAACGTTTCTCTATTCCCTGGACGTTAGCGAAGCCACAAAGCCCAAAAACGAACTGAACCGCTTGCTTTATGGCCTAGCTCAACACGAATCAGAGCGTGTCAGGCACTGTCCAACTAGTGACTGAACGGTCCAGATCTGAGTTGGTACAGTAGTGGGTTGGATTGGACTGAACCAAAGAAACGGATAAGACACGTTTGATCTTATTAGACTCCACCCGACCTGGTCCATTATAAGCAAACGCCTAATCCTGGGTCCAGTCTGATCTAACAAAAAAAAAAGTAAAAAATAAAAGTCCAAAATGCGCCTTTGAGCAAATCAGGAGGTTTGTTAATGACCCAATATCAATTGCTTATGATTATCTCATTAAAAAAAAAAAAAAGCATTAATCTTCAAAAGCTATAAATTTAAGAATATTACTGGTATAACAAATTTATAATCAATTTTAGATTTATAACCACTAACTTTGAAAAGCTCAATCTCAAATTGTTTTTAGTAATGAGTCAGTGACGGTGGCCCGGTGGGGCTGGGAGTGCATTTCCAACGCGACATGCATCATGTGCCGGCTCTGCTCCCCGCCAAATGACACATACATAAACAGCAATTCAAAGCATGGAGGGCGGATCAGATGGATCCATCTTCACGTTTCTTCTATTGCTCTATTTCAATTTTTTTTTAGAGAGAGAGAAAAAAAAAAAAATTCTCTAACACCCAACTGGAATTTGAAGGTATTGGTCCATCCATAATCATTATTCACTTGTGTAGTTGCATTAATTGAAATTTGAAACTAGTTCTCAACGTAGTGGCAATAATTATTAAATTAATTACTACAGTATATAACATCTGACTTTTGCTTCACACACTAATTTTTTTCTCAATTAATTGAAAATCATAAATTCCATTCACATATGTATTGAGATATTTAAACGTGTATAATTATATTACTGCATACAGGTTTAAATATTAGATTAATTTAAGTTTTATCGATATAAATAGGAATTTTGCTAATTGATCCACACAATCTCACTAATTATATTTCTGGTCATCTACCTACACGCGAGTCTTTGGAATTTGTTCGTTTTGGTTACCGTGGAAAGAAATTTGGTTCGTTAAATCTGCACCACCACCGCGCGCGGATGAAGCCAATCGGTGAAGACCATGTTAGTCAACAGCTGCTGCTTTCTTAGTTTGACTTTCGTTCCATTCATGACTTCCCTCCGTGTAATATTCTCATTTTTTGTGCTTTAAACCTATATATACACATACATATTCTTTTAGAGAACAATTTTTCCAAACTATGACTGATTAGGGGCAGTCAGTTGTATGACTAAAGAAGAAAATTAATGACAGGTGAGTGATGTGAGGGAGATTGGTAAGAGGATCAACATTTAATTGATTAGATCAAAGACAAAGTTTGACTTGATTGGCATTTTTTTCTCCAATTGGAAGTTGAATTCCAGCCAGTGTTGAACAACTACTGCATTATGACTATATAATTTAATCTAACTGTTCTATAATTTTTATTTTATTTAAAAATATAATAAATTTGTTACACTTAATTTAATTGGATCACTACTCTTTATTATAATTTAATTAATACGTTGTAAGATCTTTTGTGTTACATTATAATAATATTAGAGTATGTGTAACACCCCGTTTTTTTTGTTTTTTTTTCTTAACGGTGTACGATAAAGCACCCATACAACACAATACCGAAATCCATATTATTCCAACCATGCACAAGAGAAATTTATCCACCTTCCATGTTCCAAATCAATTGTACATACATCTCCACCTCTACAACACATAGTAATACAATATCAAACATTCCTAGATATTCAATATCCAAACTAAACCATCATTTCAAACTACTTTAAATCACAAACAAAACTTGTGCCCTATGGCACTACCGACGGGGCTCCGTTACCAGCCGCTCGGATCCCAATTCCGTCCTTACTCCACCTGTGAATGATGAGAAGTGAGTTCACATAACTCAATACGATAAAAATCAAGTTGTAAGTGTAATATGCAGTGACAAGAATTTCCAGAAATGTCTATATGCATTTATCCTACCCAACCCCAAACAACTCATAACCCTCTCCCTATACTAATTATCAAGATCCTATTCCAAGGAAATAGCACGGCCAAACAACCCCACCCACCCAACAATCATCCATTAACTCCCGTCACCAACATCGGCGACTCATACACTTTTCCCCCATCTCCCGACCTCACGAGGCCACACACACACACACCCAACCACCTTCATTCCACGTCACCAATATCGGCGACTCATACCCATATCTCCACCTCTCGACCTAATAGGCCATGCACACACCCACACACCATTATTCCGCGTCACCAACATCGGCGACTCACACTCACTCCTCCACCTCTCGACCTAAAGAGGCCACACACACACACAAATACCATCGTCTCGCATCACCAACATCAGCGACTCATACTCACTCCTCCACCTCTCGACCTAAAGAGGCCACACACACACACAAATACCATCGTCTCGCATCACCAACATCGGCGACTCATACTCACTCCTCCATCTCTCGACCTCGTTGGGCCACGCACACACACAAACATTTCCACCTCCCGTCACCACCATCCGTGACTCATGCACCCTTCTACCCCTCTCGGCCTTGCTAGGCCACACTCACATACATATCCCCTCCCTGCTCCACCAACATCGGCAACTCAACCCGCCCCTACCAACGGCCTCCAAATCTCCCCTCCCAAACCGCATGCTCCCATCTCCCCTTATACCATGCTAGTCCCAAGCATTCTAACTTGCTAACTCCTACTAACCACATTACTCCTCTTCTCCCATCCAATCCCCCTCAAATCCTGTTTCCTAGTCCCCTCTGCCGTACCTTCCAGCTCCCTTCCCTCTCCCACTGCCCCCTACCCGCTACCTCCCCCATCCTCCTGCCTCCTCCCGGTTCCTATACACTTTTGCCTACCTAGGGCGATTAACCTCTCAGCTTGCACCGTTTCACGCCACATACACGCCCTCACCACCGTGCATTTCGGGGAAACACATCACCGCCTATTAGCGGCTCCCTCCACATCCCCACCCACGCACACACCACACACACAACTCTTCTGTCCTCTCGAGTTTTTATCCCACCCGCGCCCCCTAGATTGTTCTCTCACATCCTCCTCACTCTGTTCTACCCGTACCACCCCCATCCTTCCCCACGGCTCCCCACACGCCTCCAACACCGCCATACTTTCCCTTCCTTCCTCGATCACCTCCGTGAGCGCGCGGGACAACCCCACGCTTACGGCCTACCTTCACTGCTCCACTCCGTCGCGCCATTGCCGATGCCGCAACCTGCAACAAAATTCTCTACACACACACACCACACCAAACAACTCAAATTTTCACCGTACCTCCCGTTTCCATCTTCCTTCTTCCTGCCGGTCGCGTCGTCCGTCCACGACCTCCTTCCCTCTCCCTTCTCGCTCCCCTCCGCCCCGACTCTCTCCTCTCTCCTTCTGGAACTTTCCTCTTCTTCTTCGTCTCCGCTGTCCTCCTTCCCTCCTTTTCTCTTTTTCTCTTTTTCCTTTTCTTTCTTTTTTTTTTCTTTTCTCCTTTTTTCCTTCTCCCTTTCCCGACCTCCTTTTATACTCTGCCAGCCTACCCCAAAACGACGTCGTTTTTCTTTCTTTCAAAACGACGTCGTTTTTTCCCTCTCTAAAACGACGTCGTTTTTATTATTATTATTTTTTTTTTCTTTCTATTCTTTCTACTTTCTAGTCCTTACAGTATGTATGAATTCCTTACTCTAAAAAAAATTATTCAATATCTTATATTGTAATTAACCCTCCCGACGTGCATTTATCAATAGAGTATATTCGAATTAGTATTAAATTTAATATATAATTATAATAACATAATCTGTCAATTTTAGTGATTTCTAAAATATATTATTTAAAATTCACATTAATATATTTAAAAGTAAATTTTCACGATCATCCTTTTTAATTAAAACAGATATAAACATACAAGTGTTATAAATATAGTGTAAAAATTAATAAAATTGACATTCCATTTTATATGTAAATATAAAATTAGATATACATCCAAATATATAGATCAAATAGAATGGGAACCAAGATGATTGATGGTGGAGAGAGAATCTATATATATATATATACACAACATATAATCTCACTGTCTTGAGTGGTGAGAACACTATATATACTTTTTCAACTATTCTGCATAGCCAAAAGATTGAAGATTCCTACACTCACAATTGCAATCATCCATTGTTTTCAGTATTTGGGGTTCCTTTCCTCATCATTTGCTTTTCCTCTTTAACTTTTGCTTTGCTTTGTTCCCTTCAACTGAGCAACACATTAATTAAATAATCTAATACCCATATATAAAGCATTTTTTTAAGCATCAAAATAAATTTTTTTTTCGTAAATCTCTGATTTTTATGTCATTGTAAATATTTGATTCTTATATTTCTAATTTATTTTCAATCAAATAAAAATCTTTAATTTTACTTTTTATGATTGATGATGAGTTTTTTATGCGTTTTAATTCTGTTTATAAATTTATTATAAATAAAAAATTATTAAAAAAATAATTAATATATTCAAGATAATTACCCACTTATAAAATACCGTTTCAATTTACTTTGTTTAGTACATATGGGATGTGATTTAGTTCCAGATATGCAAAAATTTATTACAAAAATATTTTAAAAAAATCAAATCAGTTTTTATATATATATATATATATATTGATTTATTCATGGATCCATAAAAGAATATCTACACCTAAACTAATCTAGAAAGTTGAATTCGAAAAAGACAAATTTATGAATACAAATATTTCAATTAGCTCCCGTATAAGATTCATAAGCATATGCTACAATATTGCCCCCATGACACAAAATTATTTGTTTATTGCTGTTCAATAATTGAACACGAGAATAAAACAGAATGGCAAGTTTATTGCTATAAGATTTTAATAATAAATATATATATATAT